CCTTTCTCTTTACACCTCAGGAAGATCCCGCCTTGATCCGCTGGGCCTATGCGAAGTCGCAGAACGTCTACCCTACTTTCCGCCCGACACCCAAGACTTCCTTTCTAGGAGCTGCTTATGCATTAGGCCCCCTTCTCTTCTGGATCTTTGTCTTAAAAGCTGACAGGGTAAGTCTGCCCACTATGCTGAACATCAGCGAATACCACAGACACCAGCTTGTAAAATGTAGATCTGCTTGGAGTCTCTGTGGGATCCTCATGGGTCTAAGAATGATACCATTAAAGTAGTGAGGGAAGGAAGGCTGATAGCGAGCCTGCTGTCTCAAAGCTTGTTACTGGTTGCAGAGTCTTGTTTTTCTGAGAGCCCTTTATTGTACCCTTGGGGTATGGCAATCAAACAGCATGCCTGATCAGGCTATTTGGCAGTCACTAAGTTCTCTGTAGCACTGAGTGAAAATTAATCCTAAATTTCCTTTATTTTCAGCAGTTGACATGCATTAACTATGTTTTCTCAACTTAAAACACACGAGAAGCTTATGGATGATAGACCTAGCAATCTCTCTATGCAATTGCTTGGCCCTTTCTATAATATAGTGAAGCAAATGGGGAATAATAATTATGCTAATTGCAGTGTCTAATCTCAGCTGGATGTTTTAATATTTTGGAAGGTTTATCTTGCTTCCATTCTTACTCCTAAACTATGAGTGTCAGAATCTGAGCAATAGTAGATCATTACGAAAAAACTCAGCTATATACATACATTAAAAATGCTAACAGGCAGACAGTGGCTGCTTTTAGTAAAGAATTTGTGGCTGTTGTAAAACACTTTTATTTCCATCTTTTGCACAGCATTTCAGATCAAGTCATAAACCATGAAGCACTAACGTAAATTAATATGATATTTGTAGGGAATGTTGTTTGCTAGAGTGAATTGAAAATTCAGGTTTTAGGAAACGTGCTGAGCAGGTTGATGTCAATGTTTTTGAGGCTTCAGTACCTCTGCAGTATTTTGCCATGCTGAAGCCTTTAATTAGTGTCCAGGATAATTAACTTTCCTTTATTACAGTTCCTTTAGTGGTGTTGGGGGATTTTTCTTGTTTTCCTGGTAGTACATAAGGCACGATAGTCATAGTCTTTTCTCTCAGGAGTGTGTGCTGTGTGTTTGGGCAAGCAGGAGATAAATTACCAGGTTTTAAGTAAATTTTATGGTTTTATCCAGCAGGAGGAATCTGGCTGTTATCCTCAGTGTAGTGTGTACTGTAATAGCACCAGTCAGAAAGGTACATGACTGCAGGATAAGGTACAAATGTGTAGAAAGTGAGCACAGGCACTTTTAGGCAAGTTATTAAGAAGTTTCTCCATAATTAGATCTCTAAGCTGGATTATTCAGCCAGAAGGAGGGGGTAGAAACAAAGGTACAAATTGAGACAACTAGTTTGGTGAAAAATGCCTTACAGGAATTGCTGGCCTGTGAGAGTACCTGGATGTGAGGTCAATCTGAGCAGGTATTTAGTAGGTGAAGCTAAATGCCTTGTAATGTTTTACTTATAAACCGCTTGCGCTCATAAAATCATTTAGGGTGGAAAAGACCCTTAAAATTCTATATGGTGCTATCTTCATGTAGTCTACGCTGAAATAATAGAACTTCTGTTCTGTTATCCCAGGCTGATGGAAAGTCCTTCTCTAGCAGGATAATGATAAATGTTCTTTCTTCCACAGGATTGTAAAGAGAAGCGTATCCAGGAAGGTAAATACAAGCGACCATTCAGTGTATTCTTCTAAGTTCCTGGAGTTGCAGTTATGTTCATGGGATATATAAATAAAATAAGATGCATTATGTGATAACATTTCTCTGTCACAAGAATAAATCTTAATTGTTTGTTGGTTGTCTTGCATCTTTGAAAATCAAGGGAAGTGCAAAATGTAGATCTTTATATCTAAACCAGATGGATACAGAGAGGGTGTCTGGAACTCAGCCATTGTACTCTTCTGGTGTACATACAGAGGATCCTTTTAAACCATGGAAGTTGCTACTGTCCAAGAAGGCTGAAGTTTAAAATTACTAGCAGACTAAAATGCTAAGCAAGACCAAAGCAGTTTCCTAAAGGAACTACTGCTTGCCTTACAGGTATTTCTTCTTGATGTCAGTTTGGCTGTGGGTGTCACTTTGGCAGTGTGATTTGCCCTAACTGGATATAGGCAAGTTCTGTGATACATTTTTAAGAACTTAGGAGTCTGCCTGACTGCTCTCAATAAGTTTTTCTTTTTCCTAATGAACTGCAAGCCTAAACCACGTGTTCGTTTATTGCAATAAACTATTTTTTTAATAGTACCAGATTTGGAAATAGTCAGCTGAATGTTGTTATGCTATATGTAACTAGAATTTCCACTTATTCTGTGGTTCCTGTGAATGAGAGACAAGAAGTGTAAGATAGTCACTGTCAAAGTAAAAATCCCTATCTTGCAGTATAGGAGAATTCATCCCTGTAAGGGAGCTGTGCTCCAAATAAAAAAAAAAAAAAATCCACCATCAAGCATATCTGAATCCTATGCCTGTTAAGATGCCTTTTCTGTTTATTCTTCTAAGAACACAAGTTTTTCCTGCCCAGATCAATTGGTATAGAGGACTCTGGAATTGTTACTGTCGGAGTACTGAGGTGTGAGTGCAAAGAAAATATTTTTGATGCATACTTTAATTTTTTCGTGGCCTGTAGGTGCCTTCATGATCCAAACAGCTCTCTCATTCTTCAGAGACTATGGGAGTGGTTTCTTCCCAGGCATTGAGTTTCATGCCAGAACCTCAGTCTGATACAAAAGTTGAAAACTGTCCTCTGCCTACTGGGAAAGCAGCCAATGCGTAGTCAGCAAAAACAGGTCTACTGTATCCTTTCTTTTCCTGCATGATAAAGATGTAAATATGGGCCATTTGCAGTCACTCTCCAGCAGAGTGAATTGATGAACTTTTGCACATAATCATAAAGTGGCTGAGGTTGAAAGGGACCTCTGGAGGTCATCTGGGTCCTACCCTCTGCTCAGGTAGGGCTGTCTAAAGTGGGTTGTCCAGGACCTCGTATGTATAGGTGGCTTTGAGCATCTCTAGAGATGAAGACTCCACAACTTTCCTGGGTAACCTGTTCCCATGCTCAGTCACCCTCTCAATGAAATCACTCTCACTAGATTATTTTTACGGTGTTTTTTGTTTTCGTTTTTTTAAAAATATTTTTATTTTTTTCTATCTCAGCTCTTCCTGTGTGGGCTATGAAACATTCAGGCTGTGTGGAGCTTGGCACTAATGCTGTGTACAGAAACTGGACTAGTCAGTGCCCTGGTTTTGCAATCCCGTATGTGCTCCCAGAACCCCTTTTGAACCAGTTTCTGCAGCTTGTTCTGCTAGTTTAACTAAAGCAAACCCATATTATTCTCTGCAGAATAGCTCCTAAAAGACTGTCACAAATGATATTACAAGATAGGGTTGTGGATCAGTGCATGGAGAGAGTGGTATTTAGGGAAAGAAAGAATTGCTTGTGTGAGCATGCTAAATTAGCTGTTCTTGCTGCCACAAACGAATTTGATCTCCCGGGACCCATTTCCTCAGCTAATTGGAACTTGAGTTGCCACACATGTAAATTCTCCCTTGCAGCTATATTTTTTTCAGGCCAGCTGAGCAAATGCTTCAGGATGGGTTATGGATGAGCACAGCACCTCTGGTCTTTTAGGCCAAGCTTGGACTGGTGCTTCTGGCACCTCCTACAGCCCTGTTTCCAGCCCTTTACAGCCCTGAGTTTCTGATGCTACATCCCTGCAGATTTGAGCATGGTGCTTGGAGAAAGGCTGTCCTACTTTTCTCTCTTGTTATTTCCAGAACTCTCCAAGCTGTTTTTTTACTACAAATGAGCATGCTGTGCTGCTGGAGTTGGGGTTGGTATTTGAGGCAGTGGTGCTGGGTGCAGTGAGGAAGGAAAGAGAAGTTTTCTTTCAGGTATCTAGGGTGGAGGTAGGAAAGTGAATGTACCTTGTGGAATTTTACCCTTGACTGATGTGTTACCACCCATATATACTTCGGTGATGCATCTGTATGAGAGAAATTCAAGCCTGTAGGTCACTGGGTGATAATTTAGGTCCCAAACAGAAAACAAGCTCTTCTCCCCTGCCTGTGAAATATTTAGATCTCATTTATCCTGGATCAGTCTGATTAAATCAGCTTCTCTGGCAAATTGATTCTCCCAAATGTCCTTTTCTGAATTGGCTATTCTAGAGTAAACATCTCCAAGGAAAATTCCTTCTCTGGGGAAGTAAGAAACATAGATCTGGTGGCACCAAGTTCAGAAACTGTCATGTGGGTATGTGCTAAAGTACAGGCCTGAGGTGTGGGGTGCCTGGGCTGTGCTCCTGGTTCCCATTCTACTTGGGGCTTTGCTTGCTGCTTCCACCCTGTGGAATTCACCAGCTGGGGATGAGGTTTGCATACTCCAGTCAATGTTGAGGTCCCCCATGGTGTCTGCAGTTGAGCTTTTTTCCAGGTACCTTCCCAGGAACAAATGCTTGGACTGGCCAGAGAAGCCTTTTCACATTTGCTGTGCTGCAGGTTAGCACAGAGCTAGGGAATTTCTCAAGTGCTGGCAAACAAGTCAATATTGCAGGATGGCCAGAGTGTACAATAGAAACTCCCTCGCTTAGCAGTGAAGTGCTTTGGATTCTCTAGACTTTTTTCATTTGTGGTCTACTTTTCTGACGACCAAGTCTTTCCTCAGCAGCCCCCCATGGATGAGCAGGTTGAAGTAGCTTGCTCGGATAGTGGGCTTAGGCCTGGTAGAGCCTTCAGCGCTGTTTATAAAGCTCTTCCCATACAGACAGCATACAATGCTCGGTCAGTCCCTAGCTTCTCCCTGGGAAAGATACACTGGGTTGTATTTTCAGGAGGCCCTGTGAATGGGAGCTAGCTATCACCTTGTGTCCACACAAGGTGCAGCTTTCATACCAGCTTGAGAACCACGCAAGTACTTCAGTTTCAACATGTCACCAGGATTTAATTTAATTGAAAGTTAAGAATAATGATGGGCTTTACTGCATTTCCCACGTTTCTTAGGGATGATGGTTTTCATGGCTCAGTGGCTGGTGGAAGTGCCATTCTGTGCTGGAGCATTCTGCACTGCCCGAGCTGGCTGTGCCATCACATGTAGGTTGCTGGATTTCCCTGCCTTCACTCATGTTGCATGCAGCAGGTACTTCCCTTTTACTTGCATTTAGGGTTGAAATGACTTTTTAGAGGTTCCCAGCACTTGTAGTAGGTTTTATCTAGGCAATTTGAGGTCTGGAGGCCCCATTTGGTGACGGCAAGGCTGAGGGATGATTCAAACATGAAGGCCTGTTGGGAAGAGCAAAGGAAGGTTAGGGTAAAAGAGGAAGAATTTAAATCCAGGCAAGGTGTCTGCTCTACCACAAACAGGATTTGTATACATGGTTCAGTGTTTCCAGGTTCTGTCTTCAGCCTGACCAACTCAGGGAGAATGCTCTTCAGATCTGGCAATGCAGGCTGAAATTAGTCAGGTCTCAGGAGTGACTTTTGATTCCCTGCATGCTCAGGAAAGCCAAAAAGCTTTCTTCCAAAAGCTGTAGTTCAAGGTCTGTTGATGATCATCATTAAGATTTTAGGTGTTTGCTTCTTTACCCATAGGCTAAGACAAAAATGAAATTCTCAGCTTCCTGCTCAGGCAGCAGTTTATGTGGGCAGATGATCAAAGCTGCCTGGCATTGGATGTCTCCAGGGGAGTTCCTGGGAGTTGAGCAGTGCACATTGGTGAGGGAGCTGAATGCTGCAACAGTTGTGTCCGAGTGCTTTTCCAACTTGCCAGCAAGAGGTGACAGTACTAGGCTTTAGTTTAAAAGTGGGCACTATGCCATGCTGTACTCCAACTCTTATGAGCTCCCTTGGCTCCTTACCATGGTTCCATCTGCAACCCGCTCCGGCTCTAGCTTGACTTTGCTTGCCTTCTCGAAGCAGTCAGCATCTGGCCCATGAGGGGTCATCATGCTGTGCAAGCTGCCACCTCCCGGCTGGAAACCTTCCTCCTTTGCTTCATAGTGGCCTTTGATAAGCCCCATGAACTCGCTCATACAGTTCCCTGCAGGAAGCAAAGAGAAGAGATTGCAAAGAAGGGTGGTTGAGAGGGATCACAGACAGGCTGTGAGCTCCTTGAAACCCATGAGCTAAGTTGGGCCAAGCAGAGGGTGGAGTGGAAGTTTTTAGACAGGGTATCATGCTAGGGGATATCAGGGATCCTACAGGCAATGCTTGTAAAATTGTACAGGATTTTATTACCTGTATTCAGAAACAGAGCTCCCTAATGAAGGACATTCATTAGAAATCATCTTAATGAAGGTAGTTCCATCAATCCCTAAAAAACATTCTAAGTAACGTATGCTTTCTTTTCCTGCCATCATGAGCTGTATTAGTAATGCACCTGCATAGGACTGCGTGGTGTAACCTGATTTTAAAAACTTGGATTAGGGATTGTGAACCATTGGAAAGGAAGTTCTGTATAATCATCCCTGTGTTACAGACACAATATACCTTATAAGAGAGTTTGCTCTGCTGTCCCAGGTTATATGCAGGAAATTACTTTATACTCGTCTACTACCTCTAGTGCAGTCAGGCACTTCATTATCTTATGCTTTTAATTCATGCATTATCTGCTATTTATCTACAGCCACTGTATGCCCAAAGACAAGGAGCCAAATTCTGTTCTTCCCTGAGGAAGAATACTTTCAGTAGACCCTCTGAAACCGCTAGAGTAACATACCATTAACTCAGGCAAGGAAAATTATATCTATTTCAGTACTTACTAAGTTATGCTCCCTGTAAGGAAAGTACTTTAGCAGCTGTCATCCAAGCTTTGAGCTTTTCTACGTTTGATGTGACTAAACAATATGGCAACTTCCTACTCAGAAGTTAGTTTTTGCAAAACCAGGACATGCTTCTGTAGCTATTTTATATACAGCCCTTTTTAACCACTAGTTCAGTCTTTGTTAAGTACAGTCCAGGGTCTGAAATGTTTAACAGCGAAACTAATTTAGCTCAAAGCAGGGTTGACCTATATATGTTTGCAAACATTCATTAATTTTCATTCCAAGTTGTCAGTGTCTCATGCAAGACTAGATAGTTACAAGCTTTTCATTGAACCCACGCATGTACTGCACTTGGCACAGTTAAACTTCAGTACAGACCTTGAGAGCTGGATAGCCAGTTTGTTGGCAACAGAAGTTTTAATATCTCTTAGGAAGATTGGGAAGGTAAGTAGGAAACCAGCCTGGAACTTGGGAGATGAACAAAGTCCAGTCTCTTTTTTGCTTGCAAATTTCATATGCGAACCCAAATAACTTACATGTGCCTCCCTTCCCTATTAGTTAAATAGTGTTGTCTACAAGCAGGATGTTGGGAAGTTAAAATCTCTTAGTGGCCAGTAGATATTAAGGACCCACCATCATGAGAATCACATAAGCAGTCTCTCAGACAGAATTAATATATGCCCATGGTATAAAAACTGTATCAGAGATTTTCAGTCTAAGTTAAAAAGTACTTAGGAGTAACTCACAGCCTCTAAGGATGTAAATGTAGCCAGGAGAAGTCAGTATTTACAAGCTGCGCATCCCCCTTTGTATGTGAAATTGTTATGGTGTCTAAGAGGAATCTTTTTGAAACACCATTGCTATACTTGGGGCAAAGTTAATGAAATATGAGAACCATAACTCTTGAGTGCATCGGAATTCTCTGAACGCAGGCTTTCCACTGCACCTGAGGAGCAGAGGCAACAAAGGATTTCTGGCAAGCAAAATAAGCCTCTTGTGAAATACTTGGGGAGAAAGGAGTTCAGCAGAAGTGAACTTGTTGAAATTAATACAGTGCTTCTACCCCAGAGTTTCTCAGTCTTGCTTTACCTCTCTTAATGCAACAAGATTCTCATCATGGCACTAATTTCAGAAGGAATTACTGTGTGCAGTGTCTTGATAGTGACTATCACAATGTCTGCATTACTCACTCAAGCTCTTCCCCTCCATGCTGGGGTAGAGCAAGCAACCAACCTGCTCATCATGAATTTAGTGCTCAAGATTATGGCTGAGGTGCTGTGGTCAAGTGATTAGCTATGGCAGCCACATCTGTCCTCATGTGTACTCTTAGATCATCACAATGTGGACAAGAGAAGGAGTGTTCTTTCTGTCTTTTAGCACAGACAAAGCAAGGTTGAACAACTTCATACTTGTTATGGCTCACAATGCATCCGTGTAAAATTAGCACAGCTCTGCTGATGCGCAGCAGCTTCATCACAGTTAACCAGCAGGATGTCTCACCTCTTAGGGTCTAGAAAAAGTGTCTTGGCACTATCCCAGCCAGTCAGGAGACGTGTTTTCATGTCACCCTCATTATTGCATGTGAAAGCAGAATGACGGGGCAGGACTTTGCCTATGGGATTTACTCAGATGACTGCAGAGCTGCCTGCTATGCTTACAAGTGTCACTAATTCTACTGGCCTCCAAGGTGCTTGGAAATAATCTACGTAGCAGAAGAAACTGGCTGTTAAACTGTGGTTAGTAAGTGTGCAGAAAGCCTCTCAGCACTTCAAAGTGACCACAGCATGGTCACTTGATCACTTCTGAGATGGAGCCTCTTAGCTGTTGACATAAGAGGTGCAGGATGGCTGAGCTTTCCCCCTCAATCCCACAGAGCAGGGTGTCTCATCCTCTCCCTGAAAGGGCAGTCCCATATCAGGAACTGGATTTCTAGCATCCATTCAATGCAATACATTGCCATGCTCTGCCAAGACGAAGCCAAAAAACTGCCAAAAAGAGACCAGCTCTGTGGATGGCAACCAAATCCCAAAAATACTAACCAACTCCCTGCCTGAGAAGCCAGTTCCTCATCACTGGTTTCTTAAATGCGAGCAGTACTTCCAGGTGGTGAAGAAGGGCTGAGGAGAGCCAATTCCCTTCTTTGCTGTATACCTGATCTCATAATACAAGTGCCAGCTCTACACCCCTTTGTGCTTCTCACCGCTTGTAATATATTTCCCTTTCTCCTGTTCTTTATCTATGTACTCTAATGAGGTATTAAGTAATTCATGGCTGGGTGACAGGACCATATCTGACTCATTCGTACAATGCCAAGTACAATATGCACCCAGGCTCTGTGGGAGCCCCTGGAGTACAGATATATCCATCTATGAAGAAGCAATGAGCCCATCACCTCAGAGTTTTCATGAGAGATGCTTTAAATAGGGACATCTTTGGATTTGTCCATTTTCTAGTGAGAACAGACTGACTCCAAGAAGCTGACTGACTGAGCCAAGGACAACAAGCCAGACTGCTGCTTCCTTGCGCATGCTCTCAAATAAACAGAGAATTGTTTCTTTTCTGCAGTCATGGACTCAAGCACAACCAAGAAAGTGCAGACGTACGGTGGTAGTAAGGTGGACGGAAGGTGTTGTTAGCCACCCCCCATCGTGGGGGAAATATGACAAAGTCAGCAAGTGCCACTCCAGCACGGGTCGTCTTGGCTGTCAGGACAGTGAAGATGGAAGGATCCTGGAAAAAAGCAAAGTAAAAAAACATGATTCAGAGCAGGGCTCGGAGCGGTTTGCTCAGGTCACCCAGGTGGTAAACCTGACTGATACACCCTGTTCCTTGCTTAAACACTTTTGTCACCTGCACCTGATAGTGTGGATGAGATTTGGGACCCTGGGGGACAGCACTCAGCATTACAATTCCATGCTGTACAGTGGAGACAAGAAATGGGTCTGGATGGTTCTTCCTTTGAGCAGCTTTGACGATCCTTCCCCATCCTGGCACTTGTAGCTGGCAGCACAGATGAGGAAGGTGGACAACACTGCAAGATGAGGTACTGCAATTCCAGGAGCAGTCTCCAACACTCCTACCACAAAACCACACCTTTTCCTTAGCCAGTTACAGAGGACAGGAGCATCCTGCTAGAGGTATTTAGCCTCATGGCCCTGTTAGTTTACAACTGGAGGAGAAATTGCAGAGAAATTGTGGCTTGTTGAAATCTCTAGTCCAGTAAAATTATTTTTCTGGGCTTTGATCCTAAACCCATCCTTCTCCTGCCAAATTTTTCTGGGGTTTTAAACAATACTTTATGTTGGTTTTCTCACTAGAAATGCTCCAGTCTCCTTGCACACACACTTGCATTGCTGTGGGCACCTCTCCCACTGGACTGGTTTCCTTTTTAGATGAGTTTGCTCACATTAGTTTTGGCTTTAGTTATTTTCCATAACATCTAGAAATTATTACAATGAAAGCTAACAGCTCTTCAAAATGAAATTCAGTGCTGGACTCAGAGAACCAGAGGAAGGAGTCTGTCCAATAGCAAGGAATAAATCATGGCAAGAATTTGAAGCAACAGTGTTTTTGCTGAGTTGAGTGTATGTTGGCATCAGTATTCATTCCTCCTCCACGGCACAGAAATTCTATGCTATGCTGCTCAAAGCTGTTTAAGAAGCTGATCAACCTCCAGTTATGTCTTTGTACCACAAAGGAAGACATCTTCTCCTATGAAATCTTGGTTTGGACCCAGGGAAAGCAGCACAAAAGATTTTACACTGTGTCTTAGAGCACAACATATTTTTTAGAAGGCACAGAGCCCCTGGAGCTCAGGGTGGGTTTGGATAGTATAGAAGCCACAACATTTTGCTTTGCTTTGCCCTGTTCCAGAACTTACCGCGTGGTCAAAAGCAACAGCATTAATGACCATGAATTTTTCCAGGTGGTATTTGTATGGCGTGTAGTTTCCATGCCAAGCTACAACATTGTAGGGGGAGTAATCCTAGCAAAGCAAAGAGACAGAGGATTACCACATACCTTCAAACATGCTGAACATGTGCAGGATGCTGCCCTTTTCCAAGTGAAAAGTGGGTTTAGTACTGGTTAGGGGTACACTGGCAGCTCTTTAAACACAGCCCAGTGTTTTGAGGATGAGGTTTTCCTCAGCATTTCTGCTTGGTGAGCCTCAGCCTTCCCTCTGGGGTTTGGTCTCTAAGAGCTTTTGAATGCTCAGGCAGTGTTTGGACAAGGCCAGCTGCAACACCAGCTCTCTGGTAAGGAAACAGGATTTTCACAGTAGCACCAGCTCCTCATTTCTACATTGTCACTATAAAAATGTGGAGGCAAAGACCACTGTTGAGTTTTTGGAAAACCAGGTCTTCACAAACACTTTTTTCCCAGACTGAGGATCCTCACCTAGGAAAATGAATGATCCAAGAAGACAAGGGCTCAGTTCTGCTCCACATAACTGAGCAGGACTTTGTGAGATGACATCCATGCTACTGAGCTGCAAATCCCAGCCATACACTGGCAGTCACTGCGCTTCAGTGTTACCTGTTCTCCCAGGGATCCTCACCTGCTGGGCTGCAAACAGCTTGCCCTGGTACTTGCTGATCATTGTGTAGCCCCCTGGCACTTGGCGGTCCTCATACCACGCCACAGGCACCAAGAAGTCACGAGGGTTGGCCAGGCCGTTGGCTCCTGGGAAAGAAGGAGAGATGACAAAGCTCCTTGGGCAATCAGCTAGTGCAGTGAGAGGCTGGTGCAATTTCCTGGCCTTGTGGGTGCCCTTCTGTATTACGCATGACCCAATTGCTTCTTGGCCCACCATGAGACCTGAAATAATCATGTACTTCTTGTGCTTCTATGAGCAGGTAATTGTAATTCATCCAAGCATTCAGGTCCATGCTCCCTTTGTGACTAAGACAGGTCTCCTCTAGTTGCCTTCTGAATGAGATTAGTACGTCATCCTCAATTAAAGGCATGTAACAACCAGGAATTAAGTGAAAAATGAAGAATTAATTGCTCTCTGTTCCGGGACATCCTGCTGACAGGATGCTTAGCCATGCAGACATTATGAAGCCTGTCACAAGGGGGCCAAATACATTTCTGAATGCTAACAAAGAGAGCAATAAAATACTTACAAACTTGGGGCATACTGAGGGGTTGCTTAATGTGAAGAGTGCATTTTCAAAGTGCAAAGCACGATATAGTTGCTGGAGCATTCTTCTCATTAGTATTATTGTTACAAAGTGCTTTTGAATTTCTTGGATAAAAATGCAGACATTACTACCCGCTGCTAAGGTTTAACAGTCTCTGCTTTTCTCCAGCTGTCACTTTTTTTCAAGTGAAAAGTGAAGTTAAAATAAAATAAGACTGAAATACAAAAGATTGTGGTCTCTGAGGGGAAGACGGGTAGATGGTGAGAAGAGAAGCTTTTATAATTACCACCTCCTAAAAAGGTGCACTCTTTTCTTTTCAAAGAAAGTAAGCCTTGTAATAGATTCCTGCTTTGTGGAGAAAAAAAACACCAAATCAAAATCCCAAATAAAGTCTAACTGCGTCTGAAAAACTAGCTAATGAGAAAACTTATTAAAAACAGACTGGGCAACCATATAAATAATCAAGTGGAGCAGGCACAGGGTATGATAAGTGAGGAGTGGCAGAAAGCTGCAGCTGGCTAAAAGGCAAGCTGTTGAAAAATCGCTGTAGGCCCCATGTGGAAAATGATGTGCAGCATGTTATACAGAGGAGATGTTTAAGAGGGGTTCCATTGAACAGCTGCAGATTGGGTTGGTTCTCCACTGAAAGAAGGACCAGCTTCACTTTCATCATGGCCATGAGATACAGATGCCCCTGAATGCAGATGTGCCACACCAAGCTTGTTACTGATTGATAATACAAGTTAATTTGCTTGAAGCATGTTCAGTCCTTTAGATCGCACTGAGAGCTAAAAATATCTAAAAATATCTAGTGGGGAAAAAAAATCCCAAACCTAAAACAAAATTACCAACCCCAAAACACCAGTCTGAAAGTGGAGAACTGTTTGCACTGATTTTATAGTTATTTTAGCTGTAACAAGAGGAGTTTCACTTCCCTTCCCCGAGACAATCTAAGTAGCAGTACCCAGGAGGTATTTTGCTCAGCAAGATAAATTTGGAGGCAAGTACTCAAGAGATAATAAGGTGACATAATCTCAGCTGAGCACTGTCAGAAAGCTGACTGGGAAATTGCAATGTGGGCAGCAGGCCTTCAGATGCTGTGTCTCTTTGCAATATCTTTGTCATGGCAGCAAGAGCCTGGGCCTTCATGATCTGTGACTCTGCACAGAGCAGGAGGCACTATGATTTATGAGAGTTAGACCTGCACTCAGTGAAAGCAGATGCTCCCCGGCAACATCATACAGAGATGTGAATGTGTTGCTGATCCAAGACTTGTGCTGCTCATTTTATTGGTTTCCAATTCTCCAGAGGATGCAGTTTCTGACACTAAAGCACTCTAGAGATCCAAGGTTCCTCTGTTAACAGGAGTAGGGGGCGTGGGAAATCCACTTGATTAAATCTAAAATGGGCCTTCGAGAATGTCTCATTTTCAGTTGCCTCTGAAATCTGCCCTTCCTTTTACCGGGAAAATTCTCTCCTATCACTCCAGTTTATGCCGTATCTGTAAGTATGAGGTATCAGTGGTGATGGCCTTTCGGGTTTCTTTTGGTAGGAACAGGTTCACGCCAACCAGAACTGAAAAGAAAAAGTAGAAAAGAGGGTGGGGAGTGCCAGGGGAATCTCTTCACAACTGGTCTGTCACATTTTTTGGGCAGATGCTTGCTCTTCTGGGGAATAACAGTGCTGGAATGGAAAGCATCTTTGTCAAGGAGTATGTGCATGGGAGGATGTGATGGATTTGGGCTTGCAATTCATGCTTGTCCCTATGAAATTCACTGTAGGTCTAACAGGAGATCATTACCAATGGGTCCCAGGTCAGGCAGCTCGAAGTGTGCCCCATACACCTCCAGGATGTAGCCTCTGGTCTCTCCAAACACCTCCACACTGAAACGCATTCCTTGCTAGAAAATAAAGAAAGATACTAGGATCTTCCTAGGACTTTGCTGACAAACCATGAGCAGCTGAGTGCAGGAGTTTGCTTGCTCCAACATCTGTCTCTGAACCACAGACAAGATGCATTCAGTCCTTACCTGAATGACACAGATTTCATTGGGCTCCACTAGCATCTTCCCAAACTCAGTTGTGATGAGCAGTTTTCCTTGCTGGGGCACTGTGGAAAAGAAATGCAGGCAGAGGAGCTGAAGTAGTGTGGTGATTGCCACCTTCTCTGTCCCTGTCAGAGCACCTAGGCTCCAAGAAAGAGCAATGGGCCCTTTCTGACACAGCTACACAGGGAGTCTGGGCTCCCATGCAGACTCTTGCAGCTGAGACACCTGCAGTGGAGTGAAGCTTCCTGACCAGCCCCATCGTCCCCACATCACAAAAGGTACTTGTATGAGCCAAAACTTCATGGCCCCTTGGTGTAAGGTTTGCACCACAGTCCAAATAAATGAGATTTGATACATTTGGGTTCATACCTCTGTCTCACAATCTTCATATGAAACAGTGCATTTATCCATCTTTGTCATGACTGTGGCAGTATGAGATGTCTGGGAATAACTACTTCCTGAGAGTACAAGCAATACTCTGCTAACATCTGCATTGTTTTCCATGACTGTCCTGGCACAGGAGAGCTCACATTTTGACTTGAAAAACGATCAGATTTACAAAACCTGCCCTGGTACTTTTACTTCACGGTAGTGAGGGAGGTGAGTGAGAACAATTTAATAGCTACTTAATGGGACAAATGTTCCTGTTAGTTTCTTGAAGGCTCTCCTGTTCCTTACTCAAGAAAGATACAAGCAAATATCTGACTTCTAATACCACTCAGAATATTTTTCATCATGTGTGGACTTTATGTGTCAACCTCCACATGCACTGTGGCAGTCTGGTTGCCTGAGGCTGGCACAGCACGGGAGCTAAGCTGCTGTGCCAAATAATCTTGGGCTAAAGCAGCAAAGGCATCTAACTATAAGCTGTTAAGAAAGCCTAAGGTTTATAATTTCCAGAAAACCTCTGCCTGTGGCATGTCTAATACCAGTCTGGGGAGCACTGGGAAATGATCCCTGAGCACCATGGCAAGGAAGCTGGGTCACTGCTCAAAGAGTTGCAGTGTGGCACAAGAGTAGTGCAACTTGCCCAACAGCCAAGCTGGTGCCAGACCACCAAATCTGCATGGCAATGGGGGTGAAGCCAACCCTCTCCTCCAAATCTTGGCTGTAGAGCCCCAGGCTCTGGAAGAAGAAAGAGGCAGGCAGGTGGTACCCCAGGTAGAACTACCTGGAGGAAAAAAGAAGCTAAAAGCATCAACTCACCAATCAGGAAGTCGCCATCCGAATTATAAAGGCATCTAAAGAAAAAGGGAAACAGTAAGGTTAAGGTGTTATAAGTCCCGTGCATTTCTGCACACCACAGCCACTGCTGGGGAGTTTTGAGCTGGGAGACTAACATGGCAAAGTTTCACAAATTCACAGAATATTCTGAGTTGGAAGGGACCCACAAGGATCATCAAGCCCAACTCTTAAGTAAACGGCCCAGCCTGGAAATATGACGCTCTCTGACCTCTGCCAGGTCCCTGCCTTTGTACTCATGGGCACATCAGCTACTGTAAGCTGAGGAGTGGGGCTGATTTTCCTCCTGAGCCACTGCAGGAAGCAGCAATGCCTGCTGCATGTGTGTTGAATTCTGAGGAGCAGCTAGAGGATCTAAATCCAGCATATCTTCTCTTGCTGCACTTCCATGTCCAGTTCCCTACTTCTCTTGGTGGTTCCTCACCCACTCCTCTGGTATTTGACCACAAAGCACAACCTGCTGTGGACATGGAGAACGTTTGTCTGTGCACACAGGAACACAGGACATACAGAGATGCTGGGAGCTGGACTCAGGTTGATGGCAGGCAGACAGCCTGCAGCAGTCTGAGCCACCAGCACAGCAGGCACTGACCTGTTGATCATGGAGGTGTTGCAGACAAAAATATGGATGGCAATGCCATTGCGTCCTCTGGGCTCACCGGCGCCACACAAGGTGTGCAGTCCCTACATGCAAACCCAAAGCACCAGGAGTGAGCAGAAGGCAGGGGAGCAGGGATAGCCCTCTTTCCTCCCCTCACCCCACCCTCTTGCTGGGTCTCATCTCCTCTCTCACTTCCCACACGGCTACCAGCCTTTACTCTATGTGTCCATTTGTCAAATGAGTTGGATTCTCTTTAATAAAATTAGGGTTTCTTAAAATCCATGCAAGCTAGTGTTTTCCAGCCAAGGGTCTGGGGAAAACTGAGAGTTTGGGCTATTTTTTTCTTTAAGAGTTACTTGAAAGTCAATGAAGAAAATCAAGCCCAGTGCCAGTTGCTTGAAATCTGCAATCCTATAGGTGTTCTGCAAGCCCAGTGTTTTCAAAACTGCCAATATTACCCCAATTCTGAGCATCTTGTGTGCCCCGCCACCCCCTGAGGGGAAACAGAGATAGAGGATGCCCAGATGCCCTGGTTCCCCAACTTACACTCACAAAGTCCATCTTATTCTGGGGGGCTTTTGGAATCTCGAAAGGTTTCCATCGCAGCTAGATTGCAGCAAACAAAAAAAAACAAGAAAGAGGTGCCAGTGATCAGAACACTGAAATGGTAATTCAAAAAGTAGACCCCATCCTTCCCCTTGCTGACATAGCTCTCTCTTTCCCCTCTTTCCTCATTGCCTTGATCATCTGGTTTATCGTCTGGTTTATAAGGGTTTTTTTTGGTGTTTTTTGTTTGGTTGTTTTTTTTTTGTTTTGTTTTGTTTTAATTTTTAAAAATTTTTATTTGGGGAGCTTTTAAAAATTTTAAGCACAATTTTGTAAAGTAATTGGCAGGCTTGTGTAATGCCAAGGTTAAAAAGATCCTATTTAAAATCTGTCTCTATTAATAACAACACTTTTGAGAGCAAAGAAATTCAGATAAGCCAGTTTTCCACAGTCAAATTGTTATGGTCCTGTGCTCCATGCTGAATGATTTAGTCCTCCTGTGACCCAAACATGACATTCTTTTTTGCTCCACCTCATTTTCCCCACATCCAAAGCAGAAATAGCTCTGCCTGCATGACCAGGAGCCACGAGTAGCACTAATTACTTCTTGTAAAGCTTATTGAGGTCCTAAGGCAGAAGGTGACAGAGGAGTCCAAAATATTTGTTGGATTTGAATCCACCTGCATCCTCTCATGAGAAGTTTCACAGTTTATGTTTGTCTGGGGCTTTTCTGTTTGTTTGTTTGGGTTTTTGTTTGGTTATTTTGGTTTTTTACTCTGACATTTGTTATTGGTGTTTGTTTTCTCCCTGCCTCTCAGTCATAACTTTCCTTTGCCATCTCTGTTCCGGTCTGGAGAGTTTTCTTCTGTTTCAGCATTTCTTGCTCAGGTGCCACCCCATATTTTTTCATCACTTTTGACTCCTTTTCAGTTCTGTCATCTGTATCTTTTATAATTCTGACATTGTCCTTGGGTAATTTTAGTGTCATTTTCCCCATTGACTTCAATGGGAAAAATTGCTCAAGGTGGCTCCATATGGCCATCTTTTTAGATGGATGAGGATTGCTGAAGACCCTTAAGTATCTGGGTGAAACACAAAGCATCACAGGGAAGAGTAGGTATTCCTCAACAAACTGAACCTTGATCTGGCTCTGCTTCAGAGAGGATAAAAGAAGGAAAGCAGGAAGGTGGCTCCCACTTACTGCCAGGAAATAACTCTTCTGGGTTTGGTGGTTGCCCCTGAAAGTGGCAAGAGAGGGAGTGGGCAGGAGCTTTGATGCTGTTTCCTTAGACTAAAAAGGTACTGCACATAAATGGTTTCAAATGCTTGAGAGCTGGGCATCTTGGAATTATTGTAATCATAAATAAAGGTAGATGTAGGGTGCAAAAGGGCATCAAGGATGGATGAGGTGATAACAGAAGTCAGTGGAGCTTCCTTTGGGAAAGAGCACCAAAGGCATGAAAATATAAGCCTGTCACTGCTCCTTGGTCAATGTCTGGAAAACATATTCCAACAGATCTGAGAAATTATTTAGACAAATGGTGAGGCTGCCAGAAGGCTGGAAGTTAGCTCATCATGATGCATCAAAGGGCAAAACCTGAGAGAAATGAAAACCAACGACCACGAGATGATGTTGAGAGAAGAATGGCAACAGATTAGCAAAACCAAATGTTCTGGGGCTGGTAGGGAAGAAATCATAATTAAAGAAAATGGTAAGGCCATAACAGAGAAAGACAAATGCCATCTCTCTGTGTGACTCTCCAGAATGAAGCAAGATTTCCCATGAGAGCTGCAGAGAAATGGGTTAGCAGCCAGTAGCCTCTCCAAAAGTGCAGGGAAGGAGAGGATAGATGGCAGAGACATACGGCTGCTCTGCCAGCTGAACTGGGGCATGAGAATTTGATGGGGGGCACTGAAGGAGAAGAGAGAGCAGATTAAAATTTGGCCAACAGGAGCCCCCAAGGGAGATGCCAGGTAGTGCAGATCTAACCCTGTGGCACTGTAGCGCTGCTGAGAAGCAGCACAAGGATCTGTCAAGATGAGAAGCAGCAAGCATTGAGGGCTGTTCTTCCTTGGGTCACCATGGTGAGGAACAATGAACAGGTGGCAGACAAGATCTTCTTCTGAATTGGTCAGACCCCCAGGAACCCATGGTTTCCCTCAGACCTCTTGCAACTCAGTGCCTTGGCACTTCTAATTAGTTTGACATTTGACTGTCCTCCTGGCAGGACCAGGGCTCCTTCCAGCATGGTTACCTGGTTGGGGTCAGGCTCAATTTCATCCCAGTCATGCGTCAAGTGGCCCTCCTCGAGAGGTTTGAAGGGTTTGTGGCAGACTGAAGGTAGGATTCGATACAGCCAGCTACAAAGAAGGAAAACACCTGGATAAGCCTGGGGAAGAGGTTTAACCCTCTGGATAGCTGCTGGCTGATTGAGATCCTAGAATAACATTTACATGGGTGGCAACTGGAACAAAAGGTTTATTAAATATCGAATTAATAATATTAATATTAAAATTACATAGCAAACAACAGCTCACAGCTGGAGGTTTCCAGAGAGATGGCTTTTATTATAGGTTCTAAATACAAACGTGCTGCTTTATATAGGTAAATGCCTATATGTGTATTTACATGTAATTACTTATGTCTACATTCACATATATGCATATATAAAAAAAAGACTCAGCTTTTTCTGTTGCTGAAATACAACAGTCTCACAGTTAGAAAAAGAAGCTTGTTTAAACATAGCTATAAAGCAGTGCAGACAAGACAGGGACAAGCAGTGTGCCATGGAAAGAACAGAGGAGCTCTCTGGAGACAGCCTGTATCTGAATTTGGACAGATTACAAAAAGTAGCATCCTATGCTTCATTTGCCATGCCCATACAGCAAAGCCCAGAGTTTATGTGATGCTTCCTGCTGCTGTAGGAGGTCCCCTATAACCTCCGTCACTGCCTGGGACCGTCGCTCTCCTTCCTTGCTGCCTGCTGTGGCTGTGGGTCCTGCCAGCACTGCCACTCTGGCATCCACACATCCTGTATGGTGCAGCCAAACCCGAAGCTGGGCTTTCAGTCAGGTGAGAGAGCAGAGTGGATCAGAAAAGCCAGAGCTAGGCAGGGCAGCCAATGCTCTTGATATGTTAACACTGGTGGTTGCAGTTTGGACAAGTGGGAGAGGGGAGGAGGGAGCTCTCCCTTGAGAGCTGGAAAAATTCCATCAAGAACACTTCGTGCAGCAAACAATGATTCATCCCTTTCCCATGCACACTGAGAGCTGGCACCAGCCTGGAGAGCAGAGGCATCTCAGATGATGCATTTAATTTAAACAAGCAGCAAAAGGAACAGAAGAGCCACAGTGAGAGAAGCAAAAACAGAAACCCATCTTCTGCAATCTGGTTATGGCTGGAACATGACAACTGTGACAGAGCTCTGGAAAGCTTGCTGCTGGCTGGAACAAGCTGTTCCCAGCACTGCTGAGGTGTTAAAGACCATGCTGGCACTTTTCTGAGGCACTGGGCAGCCCCAGAACGGGAACAGACTGAGCTAGCACCTCACTGGCTCCAACCAGTGTGCAGACACACCTACTGGGGAAAAGAGGCTTAGGTTCTCAGAGGGTTGACTTTGACACTGTCCATCATCACATGCTTACCAGTGCCAGTGGCAGGAGTGGTCTTTCCATAGAAGCATCAGGGCTGAAACCCCAAGATTGTTTCACACGGCACACATAACCCATTCAGGACTATGTGGTCCCTGTGAACATCCCCCCCTTTTCTCATCTTGCTCAGAAAACCACTTTACTTCCCTCCCCAATCACTCCTTTCTCAACATTTTCTTAACCCACTTGCCCCACCAAAGCCTTTTCTTTTCCTATCCTGTGGTCTTCTGTCTTTGTCTCTCTCCCAGTGCACAGCAGAGGTTTTATACCCTTCTAGGCTTGCAGAAAGAACTGGTGGCACTGAGGCAGCCTCTCCACTGCTCCCCAGTGCTCATCCCAAGTGCCACATCCCCCACCCACTGCCAGGGGTCATGGTACCTTCGCTTGTTGGTGGGCCGGGGACAGGTGAAAGCAGAGCCTGAGAGCTGTTCCGCATACAGGCCATATGGGCAGACTTGAGGGTTATTCTGGATGGGAGGAGAAGGAAAAATAAGGAGTGAGAGTCAGTGGTATGGAACTTGTCTCTGAAGCCTCCAGCAGAGCACTGACCTGAGCACCCAGCACCCTGATGCTGTAGGGTACTGTGCTCTCTTGAGACTGTGCTTCAGCTCCAGTATTTGTGTGTTCTTGCTCCTCTGAGGCACCAGCCAGACCCCAAACACCACTCCCACATCCCACAAAAGTGCCCTAATGAGTCAGCACAGCCACTGGGGCAGCCATAGAATAAGCTGCAAGGGGCAGTGCTGCACAGGGTCAGAAACAGGAGCATCAGGGAAAAGGAAATAATTCCCAGTGAATACAGACTGAAAAGCAGATGGGTATTGAGCACAAACTTTTCTCAGGCCAAGTGTTCAGAGGGGTTACCCCAGAGCACCATGTCTGGCTGGTTTTCCAGAAGGCTAATAAAGACTTACAGAAGCTGAATGCACTGAATTCCCCCTTCTCCTCCTGCCCTCTGCCTTTGGAACCAGTGCCCAGAGCAGGTGTTTTGGCATCGTACTGCTTCCTCCTGACAGTGCTGCTTGCTGCCCAAAAGCATCAGTGACCTGTGAAGGAGCCTTTGCTTTCCTGCAGGGTTTCTGCACAGTGAGAGCCCTTCTTTGGAGTACAAAGCGGGCACTTCCCCCTTTGCAGAGCCGTGGTTACAACTAGCACAGGTTTTAGCAACCCTTATGAATTCATAACTGCAGGACAGATCCCTCCTTTTCAGAGAACAGAAAGGAACCATTTTGATCTAAGTAGGCCATCATCTATTTTTTTGAGATCAGCAAGAAGCAAAGACATCCAAGAACTGCAGAAAACACCCCAGTGGGACAGTCATATACCATTTGCTATCCCTTCTCCCTCCTGCAAGGTCTGCTATAGTATCCTGTATCCTGCTGCTAAGCACACCAGCCATCCACACAGAATCAAACCCTGCCTTGAGGGGTGGGCAGAGGAGAGAGCTAAAGCTCTCTGAGTGTGTGTAGCTTCCAGCCCTCCGGCTCCATCTTGTCAGGATGGGTGTGCAGTGAAGCAGGGGGATCAATAACCCTTGGAATTTTTATCTTAGCCAGCGCTATTGCAGATGTCAGTCTTACAAATACTGCATTGGAGAAAGGATCCACTCCTGGGACTGAAGATCTTTTTTGTCTAACTTGTTTTCAGATTTTTCTATTAACTCTTTTGGTACAGAATCCACACTCTGTTCAGATGAGAGCACCTCAAGCCACGAGCTGGAGGAGTCTGCTCTGGAAAGTGGTGCTGCTGTGGAAATCCTCAAAGAGCACATACACCACATCTCATTGTCTTTTTAGACCAGCAGCCATCACTATTGATCTTCCAGTTTTAAGGTGCCTCTCTCTTACATTTTTTCTAGCCAGCCTCAGTAACAAGACACTGCATCAGCCAAACTACCAGCCTGAATCAGCACAGCAGTTTGTCTTGTGAGCACACCGTGGGCTGCTATGCACACCTAGGGAACATTTGCATTTAATGTGTCTCTGTGTTGTTAGTGTCCTCACTGGCACACAACATGTGGAAATCCAGAAAACTCAGGAAAAGCAAAAGTTGAAAAAGTCTCCGTTTGACCTTTATTTTACTGGCCTCTTTGCATAGATGAGGAAGAAGAGCACCAAGGGATGTAATTGGCTAAGAACCAAGTCATAGAATCCTAGAATGGTTTGGATTGGAAGGTATCCTAAAGATCATCTAGTTCCAAACTCCCTGCCAAGGACAGGGCCACTTCCCACGTGACTAGGTTGTTTAAAACCCCATCCAACCTGACCTAGAATATTTCCAGGGATGGGCTATCCACAGCTTCTCTGGGCAATCTGTGCCAGTGTTGCGCCATTCTCATAGTAAATAATTTCTTCTTAATATCTAATCTAAACCTGCCTTCTTTTGGCTTAAAGTCATTCTCCCTTGTCCTATCTACTACATGCCATTGTGAAAAGTCTCCCTGCAGATCCCTTGTAGCCTCATTCAGGTACTGGAAGGTGCTATAAAGTCTTCCTGGAGCCTTCTCTTATCTTCTGAGGCTGAACAACCCCAACCCTCTAAGCATGTCTTCAGAGGAGATGTGCTGCCATCTAAGTCCAAAGGATTACAGGAGATCCAAGGGAAGCCACAGGCAGCATCAGAGTATGTGCTGGTGTAGAGGAGCACACTCTGGCAGCACAAAAGGAGGTGAGAGAGGTTTAATTCTTCAGTGTTTCATTCTCGCCTCTGGGTACTGGGAGGGTAGCACCTCATGGGTTGCGATTCCTTTCCTTAAAACAGAACGACCCCACATAATTTATTTTCATTCAACATGCTCGGAAGTTACTTTTAAAAATGGATCTGTCAGTTTATTACTACAGGCATTCATGTCCCCTCCCTACAAAAAAGCTTTTCCCCTGCCAAAGACTCATATGTCAGCTTCATTGAACCCCATTCCTACAGAAGTTGTGAAACCTGCCTCTCCTCCATGAGCATATCTCTCTCTGCCAATCTTGAAACTTCTTCTCTGGTTTAATCCAGAGCTGGTGGCTTCCTTCTCAGTGTGGCTGAGCCACTTGTATTGCAGACTCCTTTACGAAAAAAAACATGTAGCTGAGCAGAGGTAATTTAGGCAAGTCTTAACACTCAAGGGGAAATTTTGAAGCTTACAAATAACTTAAAAACAGGAAGTATGAATGGAAATCTTTAGCTCTGACTTCCTCCAACATCTTATTACTCCAGTCTTGTATAAAGAAGGGTCCTGGAGATTTTCATGGTGGCAGAGGGAAAGGAAACATGTTAAGATGAAAAGAAGCCAAGGGATTAGATATTCACTCAAGTGCATTTTGATAACGCACTTAAAAAAACCTCAGTACCTGTCCTTCTGGTAAAGCTCCCGGACAGCGTGGATCCTCAGAAATATGCTCATTTCCAAATCCCGACATGTACTGTAAAATAAACCACACAGCACATCACTGTTTTGAAAACACAATCTAAACCTCTCCAAACAACCCACCCATTGCTTTCCCATGCGTTTGTCCAGGCTCTTTGTATGCATTAAGACTTTCTCAAGTGATCTGCTTGCATGTTGCCACAGACCATTTTCACAGCTCCTAGATTTGCTTCATTAGTTAACCATGTGGTAGGCTGGGAAGCACAGTAATTGATCTCCTAAGTCTGCATGTCTATTTTGACTACATTCTGCTCCATCAAGCCACTGGAGAAAACCCAAATATCACATTTACTGTCAGACTCAAGGACAACAGGGTGATGGATAGAAGAACTGTGCACCAACGTTATGGATATGTGCTAGCACCATTCGTGTTCAATCTGGCTTTGCTTCAATCATGGGTGTTTCAAAATCTGCAGACTGCTTTGCAAATTTGTTCAGTGAGCCCTCAGATTCTTAGGGAATGAAACTGGGAATCATTTCGTTGACATGCCTTGTGATAAATCCCCATGCTCACATAAAAGGCCAGGATGTAGATGGGATGAGGGAGGAAAGGAAACAGAGCCAAGTTAAACTGTGTCACTGATCTGCCCTAAATAAGTGTTGTCCTGTTGGGCATGAACTGTCCACCATAGTAGTAAGCAAGAATTAATCCATTACTGGGTGATTGTCAGGTCTCTAGAGCAGTGAATTTCCAAGAGACCCACGGATGGAACAGACCTTCACGTTCTTCCACATCTGCCCTGCCTACAGCTGAGCATGGCTAAAAGCCACGGAATAGAGTGGCTGCAGATCCCAGCTTTGCAGAACTGGGAAAATCCCTGCAGCAAGCATGAGACACATAAGGGAAGCAGGAATAACAGACCTGTTATAACAGACCAGGAAGCCACAAAACTGATGAGCTCTGCATGAAAGCAGAGGTGTTTTTTGGCAGGGACCAGGGGTTCAGCCCCGTGGCCTGGGGAGGGAGTTAAATATTAATGCAGCCCTCTAACAACTGCAAGAGTAGTGGGGCTGCTCATCAGCCTTCAGACAACAGTGCCAGGATGGCAAAACTCAGGAGCCCTAAGGCTTGCCTGTCACACATCCTGGCTGTGACCATCACTGAGCAGCCCCGTAAGGTGCAGGGACCATCGTCAGTGTGGTATGACCCTCCAGGAGGCACAGGTCTGAGATTAAAGTGGACTGACAAAGTCCCTATACCTGGTTTATTTTATATATAGTATTACAGCGCCTGGATTATTCCCCCAGGTGTGCTCAATCTTGGGCAATTTGCAGCCCCCTTATAATTTTCCAAATGTAGCAGACACTCAGACAGCTAGCCTGAAACCTCCTGAGAAATCATGCATTTTCCTAAGGCTCCTTTCAGCTACCTGTAAGAGAAGACCATTCCCAGGGGGCGGAGGCTGGCTGGAAGCCCTGCTCAACCTGAACCTGAAAACAACCTGGTTTCCATTGGTTCAGGGAGGATATTTCTCTCGTCTTACAAATGAATATACATGACTAGGAGCTGCACTCCGCTGGGTTCTGCAAGAAGCATATTGATATGCAAAGGAGTAGGTCACTTAAGCAGCCTTTGTAAATGTATGGTATTGGAGCATTCTCCTCCCCCCCCCCCCCCCCCCCCCCCACCCCCGTCTTTAAAACCAGAAATGCAGCAATATCTCGTGGGACTGCAGCAGTTCCAGAATTAACTGAGACTTCCACACTGCATCCTCCTTTACCGGTAACATAGAGGTGGTTCGAGTATTTGCCTTCGGGGTAGCCCTGGTGGAAAGGGGAGGAAAGGGGGAAGAGGGAACAAATTCATTTTCTGGAAGCATAGCCAGCAAGATTCGAAAGGCTATGCTGAATGCTGGGAGGGGACAGTCAGTGGTTTTCTGGAGGGTTTGTGTACCTGGCAAGCAACATGTGCTCCCCAGCAGCCCCGTGCGACACTGCTGGGGTGACGGGAAAAGGAGGCACAGAGATTTGGCTATGACAAATCCATCTCTTGTCCTTCAGACTAAAAAGCTGACGACCAGTCCCATTGCTTCTGCTGGCTGGGCCAGAGGAAAGAAAGAAAAGCAACTCAGCAGCAAGCGTCTTGTGGCAGCAACTGCTCTGAGCCCGCGCTGGTGCTGCACCACACCTTGCCCGAGGACAGCAATGCAGGAGGCACGTTCCCACTAGGCTGGATGCAGAGCTGCTGCCTTCCCCAGCTGCACCAGGGAATGCAAAGGGTGGCACTGCCGTGCTGCCTCAAGAGTGGTGGCAGAAGCTGCTGCATCATTGTTTGGTCAAATAAATTCTTTCTAGCCAAAAAAAAAAAAAAAAAAAAAGAATTCTCAGGTAACTGCATCGAGGGCTGGAAAGAAGACATTGGAAGGATTGCAGCCACTGGAGGGGAGATGCCTTACTGGTGATTTATCACCTGAGTGTGGCTCCAAGACTTTTGCCTGGAGATTGGATGTGGCTTTTCTTATTCCCTCTTTCATTTTCTCTTTCCCTGATGCATACCTCAGAGAGGCTTCTCTTTTCTACATGCCCATAGAGGGTTGGTGTCAAACATCATAGGAGCTCCCAAAAAGCTGTGCCACATGTGCTCCGTTCATGCCTTGGAATCATCATGCTCCAGAGCTCTGGTGCACCATGCAGGGACCCTGCTGATACAGGTTTTGTAGGAGCAGTGCTGAAAGGGCCGAGCTCATCATGGCCTTTCTCCCTTCCAATCCTCTGAGCCCACCTACCACCTCCCACCTCCTTCTCACTTTGTGTTGCACAAGGTGTCTCCAAGCCAAGGGAAATGACCTCTTTCTGCCTGCTCAGCGGCAGAGCATTCTTCCTGGACTGAAAAATCTGTGAAAATGGAACCCAACCCTTCTCAGTGAAGTGGCACCATGATTTGAGTCCAAGAGCATCTCCCCCTAGGTCTCTACATGGCCTCTACAGTTCCTAGGTAAGTTACAGATACTGAAGGTTGGGTAGGTTGATGGGCACTATTGTAGTTGAGCAGCTGGTTTCTCTGTTACACAAAATAGTCTCCGTGGCTGCTTGTTTTCAGTCCTGCTTTTAACTAATGTTGTTATTTTGTTCAAGATCCTGTAGATTTTTATGCCAACAGGACCTTAGGAATTAATCTGACTCCACTTTGGTTTTTGTTTTGTAGTTTTTCGATAAAATGAGAGAGATAAAAGCCCAGCACAGCATAAAAAATTAAGCAAAGCCCATTGATTGGAATAACTGGGATGTAAAGCAGAGTGCTCACAATGGGTGTCATGCTCTGACCTATAAACCATAACCCTTTGTTCTCCAGATTAGACAGCGGGCAAGGGAAAAATGTATTAGAAGTCTGAACACATAATCTGCAAAATAATTAAGACTCTTCTTCAAACACTGCATAATATATTTCTCTATCAGCTCCTGCTGCAGGATACAGGTAAACAACATTCCTCTCTTGACAAGAAGCATGCACTTTTTATCAGCTCAGATCAGTCAGCACTGGAGTGTTTAACTCAAATGCAGAAACACTGACATGAGCATTTGGGGCAACGAGCAGAACAGGTCTCTCACCCTCTGTGTGGGACTCCATAGCCTCCTTGCAGGCTGAAGACAAAGCACAAAAACCAGAGCTGTGCCCTGGGGCTGCAAGGCCAATATCCCCAGAAGCAGCTGCCACCTCCCCTGACATTTCGACATCCCTCTGCTCCAAAAGTGCTGGAGATAGTCCAGGGCCAGACCTTTCCTGAAAGGAGCTGCTCAGCTCTAGACTGGAACATGACACTCTGTGGACAACAGAAGAGAGGGATGGATGCCAAGGGAGTGGAGAGGAGTGGTAAACCAACAGTTTTGGAGGAGAGATGCTAAGAAAAGGTTGAGCAAGTGAGGTGATGACAGAGTAGGGACATATGTGATGTCTCGGAGAAGAGCTGCTGGCAGAGCAGCATGTTCCCATGAGCAACTCTGGGCAGACCCACACTCAGCCTGCAGCCACAGCCACAATGTCCTACAAGGCGTTAGGGGCTGCTAGGAGCGAGTTAAAGATGGACATGGAAGATGCAGTCACAGCCATGACCCTCATCTGGAACGGTACAGGGGCAAGGCTGCCTGGCTGCTGAAAGAGGATAGTGAGAGGTGGGATGTGTCATGAACAGGCAGGGAAGAAGCACAGTGAAATCTTACTGTTTGAGGAGACAGCACTCCTCAGAGAGGAGTGAGACCTATAAGAGCACTGTGTAAAATAATGAGTATTACAGAAGGTGGTGAAGGAGCACACACATGTATCTCCAAGACTTAGGGACAGGCTTAGTAACAATGACATCCTAAAAGTCCAGGGAGAAATATGCGGATTCTGCATAAGCTCTTGAGACTCACCATGTCCTGGGCTGAAGCATTGCCACTCCTGCCTCCTGCAGCAGTTCAGGCGCCCCAATGGCCCTGAGGCAGCTGGCGCCCCCATGACAGTGGTGAGGTGATGATGAGATTCAAGGTTGCAAGTCTCAAGTTCCTATGCTTGAGCCACAAACCCACCCTATCATACCCTTCTCCCAAAGCTCTGGCAAATGGTGCAGGGAAAGCTCCTGCCAGCTGCTCTGCTGGGGCTTGGAGAGGAGGGCATGGCCACAGCCTAGTGTTCCAGGGTGCCCTTCAAGGGGAACTAAGAAACAGACCTGAATGGAGCAGCTCCCCAGGGCTGGTAGGGAAGATGATGGCCAGGGTTGCAACATCTGGGCAGATGTTGCCAGCTAGATTTCATAGGCTGAGGGGAAAACACCCCGTGCCAGGACAGGAGGAGGGGTGCATGCCAAGGGTGGGGAAAGGACAACTCCCACCATGAAGAGGTCCTGACCAAGAATGATTTCCAAAGGAGCTGAAGAGGGAGAGAAATGCTTATTTATAGATGAAACACAGCAAAATACGTCATCCCAAGAAAGCTTTAAAAACACACCTTGACACACAAAAGAGGGGCACAATTAAATCAAACAGATCCCAAAAATTAGTGTGAGCAGAGAAAGGGTGTCTACAGCCAGCACTGGTGGGTTGCAGGCACCTGACCTCTTACCTGCAGGCCTGCCATCCTCCTCGTTGTTATCCTCTTCTTGGAGCAGACACAAACCCCGAGCAAGTATCTGGTCAAAGCAGCCTGCCAAGCAAAGCCTGCTCACTGATCGAGTGACCTGGGCTGGAGGCAGGCTGACAGTGCTGGGAGTGATAAAGTCCAAGGGAATTTTCAACCTGTTTGCTCAGCCCAGTCGGTGTTTAACCAATCGCCCTTCTCTGCAGAACCAGCCTCAGGATCGATCCGAATAAACGGGGTGAGAGGGACTGGGTTTCCTCACTGCTGCTGTTCCCCCTTAGTTGTTGAAAAAGGGGTTCTAGTTCCCACACTTGGGGAGGGAGAAAGAACAAGGTATTTAGAACCAAGAAAAGCCATTTTGCAACTGTTTTATACGCTTCCTTTGTAAATTGTACCTCTAGCCATTTTCATACACAGCCCTCTAAATGTGTAACAAATATTTGTTCAGTAATTTTTCTGAGCTGTGTTACATTGGGGATAGAAGAGATCACAGCTTCATCATGGTGAAAGCAGTGGTATTTGTGAAACACTGTGTGGCAACATTGCACAGCATTTTGGGGCAAAAAACAGGGCAGGATTTTGTATTCCTGTGATTACAGTTAGTAAGGGGAACTTACAAATTCTGAAATATTAATATTCTTCAAGAAAGCTGCTGCTGGGGAAGAAGTGGCAGCATTTAGCTACAGAATATTAACGGAAGTAGCTCTGCACTCCAGAAGTTACAGGGGAAAAACACAATTGATTTTATTTGATTTTTTTTTTACTTTGAATTCTCAATGTCTCTCAAAAAAAAAAAAAAAAAAAAAAAAAAAAAAAAAGAAAAGAAAAGAAAAAGCAGCATTTTTTTTCCATTTCCATCACCTGCTCTGCTTATATGCCTTGCCAGGAGAAAATTTCTAGGAGGAACACACTGAAATTTTAATGTGATCCTGAATTAATGTCTCTTCCTCTCCTAGAGCATCCTGGAAGCCTTCCCTCCCCAAAGCAGTTACCAGCCCCTGTGACCCCCACAGCAGTCAATGCGAGCTTGGGCTGCAAGAGGGGCAGCCCAATCACCTTTGCTTTTCTGCAAACTGGTAGCTCCTCACACCATTCTGAGTAACACATTTGAGCCACTGAGAGCTGCCACTTTTAGGAGCTGGCAAAATAAGCTGGCTGCCCTGAGGGAGCAGGTGGGCTGTATGACGAAACAGTAGTTCTGGAGAGGGAGAGAGACTTTTCCTTGGATCTAGAAGAATCTAGACCGAGTAATCTCCAAGTTCTGTCTTCTTCAGGTCTCTGTTTCTGCACACCAAGAAGGCTCTCTCCATACCCTGGCCTCTCCCAGCTTTGCCATAAGAAATTGCTTCAGCAGAGAGGAATTCTCCAAGACAAGGCAGAGACTGTGAATATGTTAGCTCACCCTGAGCAGCGATTCATCATTGCCAAAGAAATGAAGTACCTCGCATTTGTCACCTACCCTTGAGACTCCTTTCCTACCAGACAAGATTTAAGAGCAAAAAGTTCACCTCACTTATTTTCTGACAATGAAGAATTACACATTTGACTACAGTTTAGCAAACTGCAGTTGCCGAGTTTCAGGGGTTTCCAAAATCCCCTTTTACTGAGACAAACAGCAGGAGAGAGAACATCACATTTTAGCTTACATTTCCCTTTGAGAACCTACATTTCATCTTGCTCACATCTCTTTACAGGCTCCATTCTCTTGTTTTCTTCTCAAGGGACAAGTAAAAATAAAGGTGTTGCTTTTTAATTATCTGTAGGCTTATTTCCTGGTTGTTTGTTTCCTAAAAATGGACAAGGTGTTGTCACTTTACTTACTTGGTAGCCATGTAATGTTTTAAAGCTGATTAGACTGTCTAACCATTCCATTCCATTCCATTCCATTCCATTCCATTCCATTCCATTCCATTCCATTCCATACATTATTTGCAAGATTCTGTTGAAACACCACTTAATTTATTGATTTCCAAATTATTTGAAATATGGAAAAAAGATCTTAACACATTGTGTTTCTGTCCTAGCCCATACCATTCAAGAGGGAAATAATAAATTCATGCTGATCACTCCAAGTCATCTTCATATTCTTTATGTGTGCAAACGTTTTCCAGGATTAGTTGCCTTGAAGCATCCCTTCTCAGGGATGGAGGTGAGGCTGATGGGCCTGTAGCTCTGTGGACTTCCCTTCATGCCCATAGATGTGAATATTAAGTGGTGGTCAAACACTGGAATAGATTGCACAGAGAGGTTGTGCATTCTCCACCAGGGAAGACATTCAAAACCCATCTGAATATGGTACTGGGTGACCTGCTCCAGCTGACCCTGCTTGAGCAGGGGATTGGACGAGATATCTCCAAAGGTCACTTCCAGGCTCAGTGATTCTGTGATTTAGCCTAAACAACCCCTTTAGTTAGTTGCAGTATAAATCTTGACTATAAATCTTAGGTAACATGAAATATAGATGTACTTCATTAATATTTTAGCAACTGTATTCATTATCATGTAAATATGAAACAAAGAAGCATGATGAATTTTTGCATATTATTGCATAATCATGGGGCATAAACACAACTAATTAAGCTGGAAGAATGAGCATTAAAAGCATTCATAGCTACCTTTCTGGGTTCATGATATTATCCAGTGCACGTCTTTACCTGGTGTTTACTTCAAGGAGATTCCAGCTATGAAAGACATAACAAGACCCAAAAGAAATATGTAAAAAAGCGAAAGACCACTGTAAAAAAACCAAAAACCAAAAATACCACTGTATTTGTTACATGGTGCATGTACAACTGGATGGTACCTGCACACCAGCAGCTTATTACTTGTGAACTGTTCTCAGAGGCATCTGAAGAGGTGTTCAAAGAATTCATCTACTTCAGAGAGGCAGCATGAAAATACCAACGGGCTTGCTTGAAAATTTAACAGCTACTGTTCAACATCCTGGTGATTAAGGAAGTATGAGGAGGAGAATGGAAAATATTTCCTCTCAATGAGAAGTTGAAGCAGCTTGTATTTGAGCGATTAGAAAAAGGGGACTAAAAATTTTTGAATTCACACCATATGCATTAAAAGGCATTTTGTTCGCTGCTGATTCAGGTAGTGGGGGCATGGTGTGAACTATTATTATATCAGAGCTCAGCACTACTTCCTGCAGCAAGGCATTGTCCAAAAGTCAAGCTCTTCTGTCCTGTGAGCAAAAGACATCATGGGTGATTGAGATCCTTTCTGAGGCATTTGTGCCCCTCCTGTTGTGACAACCTGTTGCTTTTCATGGTGATGCACCCTGTTTCTAAAAGGACCAACTTCTCCTCCTATCTTCAACAGCTAAAAGGCATCTGTAATGTATGTATTAATAAACATGCTCATTGACTCCTGTGATCCCAACTCCCCCAATTTGCATCTGTTCTTTGCTTGTTAACCCTTTACACACTGCTAAATGGGACAGGAATTCCTTAGAGCAGTTGTCTTTATCTGATAGTGTACTAAATATGGGGAGATTTAATCTCTTTTTTGAACCTTTAATCATAATATAGCAAAATAAAGCAATAATGCTTATACCTTTTTTCCTATCACTGCCAACAGCATTGTGTTAAAAAAGGCTCTTTTTAATAACATGTACTTTCCTGTAGAGTGGCTCTTATGAAATATGTCCTTGCCATTTTTCTGGAACTGTTCAGCAGGAGATGCCAGACAGGTTAATTATTATCATTTATTTGTTCGGGAAAGTACATAAAAGTTGTCTGGAGCAGAAAGCACACACTCCTTGTTGCCAAAACGCAGATGCTGCATGAATAGAAGCTGGGGAAGCCACATGCTCATGCTGCTGTGATGCTTCTGCCTGCAAGCTAGAACCACCACTCTTAGAAGTCAGCTGAAAATTTAGTCACATTGCTTTGTTCTGCCCTTCCTCACTCTGGTGCTAATTTTGGACAGCCACTGAATTTGCGATCTGACCTTTTATTCAGCAGGGGTATGACAGTCCATCAAACAAATCCATGTAAGCTACAGAACAAGCCTTCAGGAAGAGCAGATGGTATCAGACAGAAAGATAAAAGCTCTGACCATATTCATAGCCTTCACAGCTACTGAGCATCCTTGTCCTTTAAACAACCTTTAACCCAAAGCCAGCAGTGCATTTCCACTGTGTAAACACTAACTTTCAGGTCAAAGGGAACGTAGATGTGCACTCACTATTTCACTTCATGCTCCTTCTATTCAAAAATATGATTGAATTTTAAGTTGGTTTGCTCATACAGTCCAGACTTCATTTTGATCTAGTCAACAAAGAGCATGTGTTTTTATTTTTGAGCTTGTCTTGTGTACAACATCTTTTTGAGATAAGTCTGTGGTAGTATGCCAAGCATAAACTTCCCTGTGCAATTTCAGTAGATATGGAACCAGCATTTCTGTGCAATGATAAGGCCAAGGGGCACAACCTGTGCCAACAGCTGTACCTTGGGGATACAATGCTTTCCTGCCAAAGCAAGAAAAAGAAAACACATTTTTGTATTTAATGGTATTTGCAGCAGGTGTTGGCTAAGCAGCTGAGCTGGCAAAGTTAGATTTCACAGTCTCTTTGCTGCCACAGAGAGCTCTGAACATCTAAACCACCTTCCTTACAAGTATGCTGGGGACTTGTCCTCAAAGCTGTGCTAAAGCACGCCTTTCCCAAAGCAACTAATGCTACTCCGAAAAACCCTAAATATTGACAAATCTGCTTTTTTTTCCCCATTAACTGTTTCAGGCATCATTGCTCTCACTGTTAGGGAGCTACATCTCATTTCAAGATCTGTTTAGAGTCAGGTCCTGAGTATTGCTGTTCATTGCAGCTTTGCCAGCACAACTGGAAATCCCTTATGCTGCTCACATAGCCACTGTTAGTGATAGCGACTCTTTGTAATTTCTCCTTTGTGTACTCACGTACCATAAAGAAATATATTTTCCACAGTTACTGATCAGATGTCAGAATAAAAACAGTAGCACAAGTGGATAATAAACACTAATGACGGTGGTGGTAATGAAGAGACAGGGTTTTTATGATGTGCTTGCAAGAAGCCATAAAGCTGTTTATTGATATGCAAAACAGGAGTTTATATATCATTTTAGTTATTGCTAAAAATAGTGCACCAATAATATTCATGTAATTAGCCTATATTGCTTAACTAAGTAACATTGCTTAATCAATGCTTCTCTTTAAGCTAACTAGGTACGTACGGTACTTTGCGTGATTCCCCACAAAACAGTCTACCAAGCACTTTCTTATCTCTTAAATTCCTTCTTCAAAATCCCACTTACTCTTGCCAAGGCTTGCAGCCTACTATGGCTACCACATCCCTGTCAGTTGTGACAAGCTGAGCAGTGCTCACAGTTCGGCTCTCTAGTTGTATTCCTGTATCTCCCCCTTTCTGTTCCACTAATAAGACTTTGTTGACTTATTAATCAGTCTTTGAACACATTGCAAGATACAAGGCAAAGAAATTATTAAGAGCAATAATACAGCTGAAATATAAAATCCTGTTTTCACTAAATGCTTAAACTAGCCAGTAGGTCTTCATCCTTTGAGTATGTGTCTAAGCTAGACACTATCATCCGTAACTCTTAGTTTGGTGACACTCTTGAAGGGCTTCTAAACTAGCATGAATAGATTGAAAAACGGTTAAAGAAATTCATGCAGCATAAGCCTTTGAAGTCTTTACAGCTATGTTTTGGCAGTTTTACTTCTGTTCTTGTCTTGGTTCCAGGGCTGGATGGCAATTTAGGTAATTTCTCTTTTCTCTGAGTCTTATTCTCTTGGAGGCAATTGATGTTTGGCTGAATGAACAGGTGACTACTTTCAACTTGATGATAAAAACACATGCATACCTTCTCCCTAGGTTAGTAAATTAGCTAGGCCTTATCACTGTACACTCAAAGATCTTTATGTAGAAACTTTTAGAAATTGCCTCTGCACTTGCAAACTTTCAAAGCAGTATTGCTAGGGATCAAATTTGATTTGATTTCAAAATTTTTAGTGCAAATGTCAGTGTAAATGTTCTTGAAGAGTCATACTCCTTCTTCTGTTTTTTAACATCTGTGTTGTTTGTTATGAACATAAAGGCAACATATAAAGCAAAACAATATGTGCCAAAATAATAAACTACACTAAGCAAAAATAAATTAGATAATACACGTAGTTAGTAATACATGAAAGACTGATGATTTAAAATAATACATGAACTTTTTTAATACTGTACCATTACTTAGAGTTTGCAGAAACTGGTAAGCTTTATTTTAGAGTGAAAACTTGGAGAACTATTCTTGGGTGAGATTTTTAAGTTTACTTCAAAAGGAGTTTTAGCTATTATAGGTCCAAATTTGGCAAGTCAAAATTACCTGAGTACAGTTTTGGCGTAGAAAACTCTTGAGTTTGTTGGTATGCTTTTCGACTAACTAAGGCTAGGACTTAGGCTTTAATTGGAAGAGTTTTTCTAATATATTTTAAAAACTTCTCAGTAATAGTAAAGTTTTTTAGAATAATACGTCTTTTAGATAGCTATACAATGGTATGTGAAGGTTTGGAAAGCAGCTGGCTTTCTTATTTATTTTTAGTTAAGTAATAATAAAGCAAAAATAGCATTAAACAGCTTACAACTAATAACAGTCATAATATGGAACTGTTACTTATTCCTTAGTGCTATTTATAAAAGATAAAGCAGCAGAAATTATTTTTATAACAAAATGTTGTGTCTTGTAATTTAAATGAGCAAATTTTGACAAAAATTTATTTAGGCTTAATGTCATTTATTTGTATAGTAAAAGAATTGTATCTTCTAATTTAAACAAGTATATTTCAGCAAAACTTAAAATTAATTTTACTGAAACTTCACTTAAATGTAACAGAAAATATACTTAAAAAAACTTTAAGTTGACATTCCTGGAACGAAACAGAAATTATTTTTTGCAGAAATTAACTTATTATGATTCTATCATTACAAAATGGCTACTGAAAATTTGTCATACAACACAGTTACACTGTTAACAACAGTTAAACATTAAGGTAAACAGCATGTTGGTAACTGAAATAAGAAGGTAAATTTTAACAGTTTTGGTCAGTACATAGTGTCAGTCAGTATTCTGATGTCCTATAGCTTCAGCATGTTGTGCAGGTCCTACAACCCTGCTGGCTGGCGTTAGGGGGGAGGCCGCACCCCCCACAGCAGCAGCAGTCACAGCCGCAGCTCCTGGCAGGCACCATGCTCTGTCACTATTTGTTCGTTCTTTTTTTCAAGGTTGACAGGCTTAGGGTCAAAGGGGTACCCTTTGTCTTCCTCGCTGTTCTCTCGGCAGTAGCCAGCAGCAAAAGTTCCAAGAGATCGTTAGGGTCCCCCCTCCCTTTTACTTGTAAGCGGAGGGGCCATGGGCTGTACTGAGAGAGTAGCAGTCTCTTCCATTAAATCTTCCATCTCGTCAGGTTTTAAAGAACTTTGAGCCTTTGCCGTGGAGGGGGGACATGGAATATCTCCTTTATCATTAGCATGAGATTTTTCTTGGGCTTTTAGAACTTCAAAGACAACCCTCCAAGAGGGAAGCATGTCTGCAACCGCTTTGTCTCCCTTGGTTATGGCATTCCAAAGTTTTACTCCCACTTTGTTTCATAAATTTGTTGCAAAGATTGTGGACTGGGAAACCTCTGGCAGTTTACGTGATGACCATTTTAATAGAATCTTTAAATGATTTGAAGGCAAAGGTTTGCCGTGCTGTTCTAATAGCTTTTTGCCTAAGTTCAAAAATACCTCTTTCCTGTCTGGACATTGTCTGTCCCATGTTTCCCTGTAGCAAATTAGAATTCAGGGGAACCAGCCCCTGTAGCTCACCTCCTTCCAGAGGGGTTAATTGTTGCCTGTCACTGGCCAGCATCTCCTGCTTCTCCTGAGCGGCGTCTCCCTCCTGCTTCTCCAAGCAGAGCCTTGTTCTCCCTCTCCTGCGAGTAGAGTCCCATCCCTCCTGCTTCTCTGAGCAGAGTCTTGTCCTGTGGGGACTCTGCCGTTCGGCAGTTGCAGTCCTCACACGGGGCACCATTTGACAGTGGTGGTAATGAAGAGACAGGGTTTTTATGACGTGCTTGCAAGAAGCCATAAAGCCGTTTATTGAGACACAAAGCAGAGTTTATATATCATTTTAGTTATTGCTAAAAATAGCACACCAATAATATTCATGTAATTAGGCTATATTGCTTAATTGTAACTAAGTAACATTGCTTAATCAATGCTTCTCTTTAAGCTAACTAGGTACGTACAGTACTTTGCGTGATTCTCTACAAAACTGCATACTAAGCCCTTCATACCAGGCACTTTATCTCCTAAATTCCTTCTTTAAAATCTCACTTACTCTTGCTAAGGCTTGCAGCCTACTATGGCTACCACATCCCTGTTGGTTGTGACAAGCTGAACAGTGCTGCAGTTCTGCTCTCTACCTGTATTCCCACACACAAAAATAATACTTTTGACTACATGTCACAGGCTTTCACTAGGTGGGAGAGCTTTGCCATTGATACTTCAAATTAAAGATTGGAACTGGTTTTATTTTTCTTCCCCTCTTCCACCTCATAACTATGTGATGTTTTTTCTCAAAATCCCTGTCTGAGAACCTAACAGAGTGCTGCAGCAAAGCACACTCTAAGGAAAGCTCTACCTCTGCACACTTCCTGGTAACGTGCCAGCCAGTGACAGGTTCATCAATAATGATAATGGCTTTTTATGGAAGCAAACTAGTGCACTAAGCCACATACTTGCTCAAATCTACAAAGGAATCAAAGTAACCAGCATCCTTGTAAGGAAAGTGAGACAGAAACATGATTTCTAACAAGAGGAGCTGATGAACAAAAGAAATATAAGGATTAAGCTCTCTTTGCTGAAAAGCAGAAGCAGTTTTCAATCAGTGAAAACTGTCACCTTGTTATCCACTGAGAACCCAAACCCTGACTTCACCATAGCTAACTGATACTGACTGTAAGCTATGACACAGAAGCTCATCTCTCATTTGTGACAAACGGAGCATATTGCAGCTATCTCTGCAAATATAATCAATAATGAAAATTTGTATTAAGGTTGCACCCAAAAACCCATTACTGGATAGGTTTCACACGTTTAAAAAGCCAGTGGCATCCTTGCTAAATTTTCGATGTTAAGGATACCTTCATATTCATTCTGACTATCCTTCCAGTTATCAAAGCGGTCATAGATCAACCAGAAGGCTCTGCCAAGCCCCTTCAGAACTGGGAAGGCTCATGGTTTATTTGCTCTACATTTCACCTGCTTATGCATGGGAGGTCCAACACATCTCACATGTACCTGCACGAGCCACCTTCACTGACACCTCTGGAACACACCACCTGGGCACATATTTCTGCCTGGGAAATAACACAGAGACACTGAGTAGCTTGAATTTAAAGGGATTGAGCAACAATGTTTTGATGTGAAATGTGCGTGCATGTAATAGTAACCAGAGATAGACAGAATCAGAGATGAAGAAAAACAGAGAATTGAATTTCAGTGGTACAGCAAGAGAGGCAATGCACGGTAGAGAGAACAGAGAGGAAAATGGGAAAAAAGGGGAAACCAGAGAGCAGAGCTGGAAGCACAAAGAGAAGTCTTTGTGACTTCTTGTGATGCAGAGGGTCAGACAGATGGGGCAAATGGGGAGAGAAAGAGAGATAGTAATTGTGAGAAAGGGAGCTGGAGGAACGGAGAATGAGGTACAGGCAGACAGAGGCAAGACAGACAGAAGGGTCACAGGGCATGGAAGGGATATGTGTGTGCAGAGAAAAGAAAGGTAAAACACATAAAACAAGTGTGACACAGAAAAGTTGTCTGGTGAACCTTTTTTGGGCAGCTGAAGCACGTAAGGTGGAAAAGCAATGTAACTAACTCCAGCTGCTCACATACTCCGGGTTCTGACAAGAAGCTGGAACTTCCTGCAAAAAGAAATGGAACATCATCAACGTGCACAACTCCATTACACATCACCTTGTCTTAAGAAGGAAAAAAATATACCTAATTGTGGTTACCTGCTGAAATCTAAACAAACCAGATACTTATTCTGGGCTAGAGGCCTACTTTAAAACATGCAGCCAGGTGAGCTGCAGCCAGAGGTTTGGCCACTCTAAAGATGCCACAGCGTGAAGGAGGAAATAGCACTACAGCTTGCTTGTTCTGCTCTGAAGTTCCTTAGGAACCTGAAGGAGCCCAGATCTGTTTACCCTAAGACTGCACCTGACTTTAAGAAAACAATTCCAGCTTTCATTGTCAAAGGATCAGAGACAGACATTGGTGCTGTCACGAGCTGCACAGGTCAGACATGCGTTTACTTAATTATGAATATATTCGTACTTTGTTTTTTCTGCTTGTAAACTAATTGTAAACTAACAATGTATTTCACACAAACATTTAAAAACTTACTGCACTATGTTTACAACTGTTCCCAGACCTTTCTGGAAATGACCTAAAAAAGCAAAGTATCTGTATTTTTAATCAGTTTCACTGGTGAACCCAGCTGTCATTTTTGTGCCTGATTAGTGGCAGTAGGCAGGTTTCCATTTATTTCCAAGCAGCTGCCAGAAGAGCTGCAGGCAGAGTTAATCCAGAGACTGCAGAACTCTGCTCCCTGTCAACTTCACACCAGCATTTTACTTTCTTCTATCCTCATTTATTATTAATCTCTATTTATATCTAGCTCCAGCTCTTAGTTAGCCTTTGCCAGAGGCTTAAGCATTAGAGGTGCCTGTGAGGAAGGAGTGGAAAGAAGGAACTGCCATAAATCAGTGGCTTTTACCACTCCATGGAATTCCAGCAAGGTGAGAAACCATGCAAAGCTTGGGCTATTTAGGAAAACAAGACCCTGTACAGGAGATCAGACCAGATCAAGTCTCGTTTATCATTAGTGCTAACTATGTAAAGGAAACATCTATATCACAGAACTCTCCTCCTAATCATGCTCAGTTCCTACTTTTTACACAGCCTTAAATCCCTTCTAAATTTCTATCCATTCTAATTCAGAGGATGTTCTTATATTTCATGTTTTCTGAATCCACTAAGTCCTCAGGCTCAGTAAGACCATGTCACATTTGTTCCAAATAAGCACTCTATAAAAACATACTTTTTCCATCAGTTTTCAATGAATTGCCTTTTAATTTAATATAAAAAACAAGATCACAATCAATTATGAAAAGATAAACAGGAGAGACTGATTTCCTTTGCCCTCTTCAAAGTAAACAATTTTAATTTAAGCAGCAGAACTTACACCAGTTGCTTTCTACTTACGATTTTCTTTTTACAGCTTCAAATCTTTTTCATATCTTGCCTGTTGCTTTTATCCCTTTTGAATAGGGATGAACAATGTGCTCTAGGTGAAACAACACTCCATTTAATGAAGGCATTCTATTATTTTCCAGACCGCTCCTTACCCATTGTTATGCTTTGCTCACATTACTGTACATGAGAGGCCCACTCAGTCATCTTTCCTTTAGAAGTAAATGAATGCAAATCATTGCAAAGACTGTCCATAAGTTTTCCAAATGGAGACAAGGATGTCATATATATGTGCTGTGTATGATGAAGTTTCCCACAGCAGCGTGAGAGGCATTCAACTTACTGCACACTTTCCCCAGATGTTCCCATAGATCTAGACAGTCTGCAATCCTAAGAAGTACTCTAGGCTCCAGATTAGGTTTTTGGAAAACCTTTCCCAAGTCTTTTCCAACAACAGAACCTTCAGCAGGCTAGCCAGCTGTAATATCATTTTAGTCTGCTTGACAGAAGCATTACTGTCTTTGAGCACCCAGTTGGAATGGGAATGTCATTAGGAACTCAGAGAAGTTGTCTTCCACTTGTTCAGTGCTCAGTCATAATGAAGGCTCTTCAGCACTCCTCCTCCAAACCTCTTCCTTTCAGAGAAGCCAGGAATCTAGAGCCAGGGAAGACAAGTTGTCATATCAGAATCAGCAAGAGCTCCCTCTAGCCCACACTGTTACCAAGGCAACTGCAACATCTTCCACACTATCTCCAGAATCAGGGCCACAGTGCTTCAGCTGACTGCTAGAGGAGCACCACTAATTAAACACTGCACAACTTCACTATGGCTCACCTGTTCTGCGGGGCTCCTTAAGACTTTTTGGCAAGGGAAATTGAAAGCCTCAATCCTAACCCAGTTAATGACAGATTTCAAAGCCTATATTTCCCCCCAGATTCAAGTGCATACAAGAATTTCTCCTCCATTCATTTTTAAAACTATAAAACAATATAAACCATGTCATATCAAAGAGCTGTTGAGGCTTTATGCTTTCAAAGCTGGGCAGCAGCAGTGCACTGGCAGTTGAAAGTACAGTTTTATCAATGGCTGAAAGCTTAAAGAAAACCATCAGGATAGAAACAGTTGCAACAATACAAAGGATTAGCACTCCTGCTTTTGCAGCCCATCTGCAGACACTGCTTACACAGTGACAGTGTTTACAAAGAAAATCAACTTGAAACATCAGAAGCTTCTCTGGCTTTAACAGTACTTAAGACAGACTTTCAATCCAATGCATCTGTGAATTCCCAAAAGAAAGTGATATGCTGCTTTGTAATACTGCATGTCTGCCCTACTGGCATCATAAAACTATTAGATTACAGGCCAGAGTAACTTTTACCTTACTTGCTACACACAAGCAGAAACAGTAGACTCACTAGACACACTCTCCCAAAACAATTCCACACTTTCATAGGAAATACAGTCTATTAAAATGGAGGGAGTCAACCAAGTCCTACAAATCATGCCAGAAGAACATAGATTTGTATGGATGTTATGGGACAAAAACATAATCTACAATTCACAGCAGATTGCTTAGGTTACACACTTCACCAGTAAACAGAAAGCTAAAGAGGTTTCCCAAAACAGAAGTACCCTAAAACCTCCAAAAATTAAATTTACTTGGGGTTTTCAGGCCCAAAACTCAAACAGATATGTAAGGTATTCACTAAGGTACTGGTTTATTCATCTCTAAGGATAAAGTCGGGCAGATTTTGTGCAAAGGTTCACCTCATGAAAACTGCTTTGGGAATTTGAAGAGGAAAAATGCAAAAATTATAACTAAAAAGTACCTGAACACCATATGTAAAAAGTTATCTGCTTTAGCACTTTTTACATCAAAGTCACTAATTAAGAGTAACAATTATTTATCATATATCTGATTGAAGTTGTAGCTATGAACAATTTGAAACTTATTCTTTTCATCCTGAAGAAGTTTATAACAGAAATACCTCAAAACATGAATTATCGTAGCAACCTACTGTAGAAAACCCACAAATTGGTAAGAGTTACATTAAGTAGATAACTTCAAATGATAACATTAAGAGGTTGTATTGAAGTCCCCATTTCCAATTTGGATTTTACTTCTTTAAACATGGCTGTTTGACATTAAAGATTTGTTTTAAGCTGTTTGCCATTAAAGAGTTGTTTTAAGCTTTTGAGCTCCTATCAGGGAAGTAGATAGTCATCAGCAGGCTGCAATCTTTGGCACAGCCAAAAAGAATGCATAGTTAATCTCTGGCTAGCCAATAAATAGGATCAAATAATAACAATAAAAATCTTACATTATGCATCAAAGACAACCAGCATACAAGCAAGTTTCTGCATTAAGATGTTATTTCTATGAAAGGGAAATTTCCTTTCATTAGACTGTGGGGAGGGGTAAAGGGGAAAGAAAAAAAAGCATTATGCAGAACTGAAAGAGGCAAAAGCATATTTATTTTTAAAAGGCACTACAGAAGTGCTCAAAGAAAGGAAGCATTTTGTAATCTGTAAATTCAATTCCCTCGCCCAGCTCTCCCCAAGCGGCTTTCACAGCTACCTCTAACAATGTACAGGTGTGACTCTACTTCAGTGATGCTTTTCATGGTAATTTACGGCACCTTTACATATGGTAAATGCAACTTCACTACTCCCTGCATGGTAGATGGGGAGGTGAGAGGCACAAAAGCTGAAGTGGCCTGCCCAAACCAGAATTCATTTTGCTAGTACTTCCCCAGCTGGCTGAAAATAGTTAATTCAGTCCTTCAGGAATTAATTACAAGCTGACATCATATGCAATTTTCCTTGTGGCTCTACTGAGCCTCTGGAAACTACCTGTATTAAACATAAAATCTAGTTCCAGCTGTGCAAAAAAATGCCTTTTCGTTGACCTTCAGGACAGCATCTATGGCCTAAATCTGCAACCAAGCAGCCTGAAGCTGACAGAGCTGAAAGAAATCATACTTGCCCATTTTACATCATTCTTCCAACTTCTACTATGTTAGCATACTTAAGTATTTCACTGCCAATCACTTACTTCAGGTGACAGAAGTCAACCATTCTTCTGTCTAGCCTTAACAGCTATGCTCCCACAGATACAAGAATTCAATTACCAGCAGAGATTGTCATTTAGGTTGCATGAAGCTTGTGTTTTAAAGAGACCTGTGCCAGCAGTTCACATTACACAGAGAGAAATGAAACAAAAAAGGAGGAAAAGTGACAAACCTGATTGCCATCTCTTAAAAAGTATCTCTTCTCTATAACCTGGGAACAACAGAGAACAATCTTAGCTTGCACAGCACATGCATAATCGTGGATTGCAACCAACACTTCACACGTGAGCAATGAAACTCATGGCTAACTGGGACAAGGTCTGACCCCACATCTCTGCTCTAGGCTTACTGCTTTAGTGCAATGCTCTAGCATATACAGCAGTTACATGGCCATCTACAGCCATTCTTAGACAAGCTGTCTAAGCTAATTATCCTTAACTTCAACACACTTAATTTAGTTAGTCGTACTGGGTAATGGAGGTGATGGTTTGTGTATCTCCTGCTTCAGAGTCAGTTACTCCCATTTCCTCTCTGCAGGGATAGTGGTTCCTACTACTGCACAGCAGCCCCACTATGCTATCTTTGCCCAGGGGGTGCTTAAAACAGAGCATTCCTTCTCTCATTTGCATAGTGGACCTTAATGGTCTTATTTCCAGGAAGGGGGAGTAATACTCCTAATTAATTTCTTAATTCCTAAAGGTTGCTTTAACTAGGATCAACAGAGCTAACCAATCTTGGATCTCCCCACACTACTACCTCAGAATACTGCAATCCCTCTGACCTGACAACTTCAAAAGCATAAGCAGAGTGTCTTTGCATATTTGTGAGTTCTTTTTCACTGCTCCATGCAGATCAGGAACTAAATCTTCAAGCAGATCAGCTATCTCCCGTAGGGTTCCAAAAGCAGATCAATCTTTGGTCTCCTCACAGCTGGCTTGAACCAACTCAGAGAGTGGAATGTGAAAGAAACAGCTTAAACTGTTGTTCATGCTCAAATCCCAGACAGCATTTGATGCACAGGATAATGAAACATCATTTCATTGACTTACCTTATCAAAAAACCTGCTTAGTTTGACAGCATTGGATGAACCTGCAGCCAGGTAACGAGGATTGGTACAGTCCTAAAACACCCAAAAGACAACAACAAAACAAGCACAAGTAAATCACTGCAAAGAAGCCAAACACAAAGAAATGAACATAACTCTTTCCCCTGACACACACCATCAGCGAGGGAAAACAATGAGTCTACTGATTTCTGTTCCACAGTCACTTCAGAGAAAAGACCAACTCCTCTGTGAATCAACTGCAAAATTCCAAGCAACCCCCATATGCTCCTTCCTTCCACCACCAGCTATACAGTCAGGCAGTGATTTCTATAGGTTACACCTGAGACTCGGAGCTTGTATACAAGCACTCACACAGCACATATGTATTTTTATACCCATAGGTCTGTATAAAGCCATCTTCATGTTTCAAAGACATTCAAAGACAGTCTGTGTCAGAGCTATGAACAAGAAAAAGAAATTGTTTTAACTCCCAGCCAACAATTCTAAGCTTAAGTGACCTTATCTAATACCCCTTACATCTCCCTATAGTGAAACAAAGATATCTGTTTCATCAAGCAAGAGGCACAGCCAACTGAAATGTGAATGACTGGCACTACTGGAAAAATCTTCAAAAGCCAAATTTTTATTACAACAACTTTACTTACTAAAAATAGGAGTCACTCATATATAAAAGAAATACAACAGTGATGACAAGGATACTAACCAAATTTATCTCTTCGGCATTGAAATCCTCAGCCAAGAATGCTGTTCTGGTCAAAACTTCATTCCTCTTAGTTTCTGGGATCTGATCCAGTTTAGTTCCTATTACCAGCAGTGGGATCTGGTTATCACCAAACTGTTCACGGTCATAGTCACTGTTGAGGGAAACAAATACAATCCTGAATGAGGCAATGGCCATGTAAGTAGGCACAAGTACACCATCACCTCCCCTGTGCCTCTCAAAAAACAGTTATTTATTTATTAATGGTCCATTTATCAAACTTAAAATGTGCAGTATCTTTAAATTGAGGAAGGGCTTCTGCATCTAAGTCACTACATAGGAATCCAAGCTTCAATCATTCTCCTTAGCTGGGATAATCACTTGTCTGTCATTTTTACCTAAACCAAGCTTTCTAGCAAGCAATTTTACAACCAACAGCAACAACTTGAGCAAGGAATTGCTAGCGGCTGAACATCTGTCCTTGACAGTGAACTTTCGAAAATTAAAACAATTGTGAAGAACCTGTCTGTGGAGACACTGGAGAATTTTGCAATTTATACAAGGCAAATCCTCTTTCCCATCTCCTACATTTCTACAGAAAGATCTGTGTACCAGAACAGACAAATAAACAATTGATATTCTTCCCACAAAAACTACTCGTCATTACTGCCTTCCTGCTCATGTGTGAGGTTTAGCAACAATTTTAAAATCTCCTTGACTTAGATGGATGACAGGAGAACAGAGGTACAGGAGAAAATCCTTGACAAGGTGTTGGAGAGCTAATTATGAACATGCTGTTTAAGCAGAGTTTTCTAAGCTGTTTTAGCCACACTCCTAAAATAATTCCCCCATTACCCAAACCAAAAATCTTCCTCAGTCTTGGTGCAAGGAGGGAATGCCTCTTTGCCCAGACACATCATCCCATGACACTTCCTGTAAAACGCCATCTCTCAGGACAGAGAGAGGAATCTTGAGGTAACAGGGACTGGACCTACTCTCAGACAAATAAAGAATGCAGTAAACATCTTTTCCCTTAAAGCAAGGTCTCTGCTACCCAGTTTGGGAATGTGCTGTCAGAATCGCCTGACTGGCAGTATAAAAGAAAAAGAACAATCAACTTTCTTTGATATTCCCCATTTCTTTCTTTCTTCCAAGTCTAACCATATCTACTTTCCTGTGGAGACCAAGTAGCTTTAGAGATGAACAAAGACTTCTACAACTGCTTGGAATTACAGTGTCTGAGCTCTGCATGGATGTTTTTCACTTACCCATTTGTCACGAGAACTCCTGTTGGAGCAACATCTCTGTTGAGTGCTTCCAAAGACCAGCGATACAAATTCTGGGATGATTTCTTGTTGGTCAAGTCATGCACTAAAATTATCCCTAGAGTGAAAGACAAGACAGCAAGATGCCATTTAAAGATACATATTCTCTTCCTTATCTTACCAAAATGACACCCGCAGGTTCCCAGATATCTGAGAATGAAGTAAGGGATGTACAACCAGTTCAGTTACAGTGAATAAGTAAGGCTGAAAATATCAGGATGCAACAGGTTTTTTAAAGCTGCTTATCAAGAATTGGCTAAGAGCTAAGAGAAAAATCACATGAAAGCAGGAAACAAACAGCCACCTCAGGATTCAATATCTGCAAAAGCCTCGCAGACATTCACTGATTCTGTCTACTTCTCATGATACTGAAATTCTATATTACTGCAGCAGAAAATTTATCTGTTCTCCGCTAAACAGAATTATTTTTTGTCACACCATCTATAAAGTCTAAAGGCTTTTTCTTTGTTTCAAAAGAGTTCAGAGAGAACTACTGCTTTCCTGCATTTTCAAGAATTAATGCTATATATTTGGGGAGGTATCCAAAGGGGAAACAGACACTGATAAGATTTCATAGTCCACTAAATGGCTGGTAGAAGCACGAATTAATAAGACTTATTGTACTTAAGATTGTTTCTAGAATTTTTCATTACCATGAGCCTTCGAGATGTAAATTCTGAGACAGAGTCAAGCTTCCTAGATGTGGTATTAACAGACAACCACCTCTTCCTAACTCAATTACCAATTCCTGCTAGCAAATTTCTTCTACTTATTCACACCTTCTGCAATATGTGGAATTCCCACTTCCTCAAGATTTCAAACTACCATCAATTCAAGGACAAAATGGAATGGTACCCCTTATCTGCATCAGGATTAATTCTCAAAACACTTCACAGCCTACAGGTGGAAAAAACTTCCTAATTTAGTCTTTCACCTTAACTCCCAGAAGCGCCACCCACTGCACACACTATGAACAAAGCACACTTCCACAAACATTTTCCACTACCCCACCTGACTGTGCACAGACTCCCTCCCAGGAGAGCTCCCAGCATATCATAGCTATAGCCCTATTTCAAAGCATTTATCTCAGTAACAGTCTAAAAAGGCAACTCTGCTGTGTGTCCACCCCCACTGTAGAGAGAAAATGCCTGATACAACATAACTTGGCCTATAGCAACAGATCCAGAGGCACTGCTGCACAACCTGTGAGAAAAACTCTCCACCACCACACATTCTCCCTCAGTTATATCTTTGATTGGTCAGTTCCCTTATCTGCTTCACCTAAAGCCCTCACAGTTAGTGGCACCAGCAGAAAAAGAGTCAACATCCAAAAAGAGAAGGCAGGACCAATGACTACTCAAAGAAATGCTCCTCCCACAAAAAGGTCTGCAAGCCAAAGCCTTACCGCCCAGTCACTGTCCTCAGCTATCGCAGTCCCCACATCAGGTGGAGAGTCAGCAAAGAAGATCTGTGGATAATCCAAAACCAAACTGTACCTAGCCTTGTCAACAACCTGGCAGCCTGCACAGCTGCTGCTACAACCAAACACTGACTGGTTTTCAGATCACTGCAAGCCCAGAAAACAGAAGCAGTCAGGCAGAAGGAATGCATTCATCTTCTCTTCTTAAATCAGGTCAAGCAGAGGCAATTTGTGAGACAAGCTCTAATGGAGAAATTAATCTAATGAAAGAAACATGACCCAAGGTTAACTACCAAAGTCAACAGTCTTCATATGCGAGCTGTCTAATTAGTATCTTTTGGGCAGTGGAGATAAATAACTCTATTTTCATGTCGTCAACTATAATTCAGATGCACAAGTCCAAGATTTCATTTCCTAATGGGCTGTTCTAAGGTATTTCCAAGTCTGACCCACACTCCCTGGCACACTGTAGATATGGTATCAAAAAGAAACAAATTTTTTTCCATATACCAAAGAGGCTTGCTTTGAGGGCACAACTCAAGTCTTACATACAGAAATCTAGTTAACAGTATAAGCAAGAGGTACCTAACACAGTTTTCCCCCTGAGAAAGGAAGAAGAAATAACTAGTTAATCAAAGACCAAAAATGTTTATTGTATAGTTTAACATGTTATTGAGAGGCCTTCAAATGAGTGGGAATAAGCAAAGAGAATCAAACAGAACACGTGAGCCAGATTTTCAGAAGCACATACTCTGATACACATCTATTTTTAGTGAACTGTCCTGGGATGACAAAAAGTAACAATTGAAATACTGAATTATTATGTTTATAATCTTTTATTTGCTCTTGTTAGAGACACAGATGAACTATCAAAGCCTTTAAGACAATATCTCAACAGAAGGCACAAAATATTTCTTTCTACATATGCAGCAAGTTGCAAGATTCAACTTTTAAAAATAAGTTGGTAAGCTAAATGAGCAGAGGCAAGATGGTTACCAGCATATGACAATTTTATGGGAGACAGTTCAAATTTGCCAGGGTAGGATGTGACTATCAAAGTTCATAAAAATTGAAATAATCATTTATCTGCTGTAGGTTTTACAACTGAACAGACAAGAAACTATAAATAATTAAAAAATCTTTAAAATATATAACTCATATTTCTGTAGTATATCAGACCTGGAAAGGTGAAGGCAACCATTGCACCTTCAAAACCTCCCTGCTGTGCCAGCCACACAACACTGAAGGGAAAGGCTGATAGAGCTCATCTGCACAAGTTTGCCTGAAATATCTGCCATTCACAACCGAATCCATAAAATTCTGCCTACGAACAGTATCAGGTTTTCTTGTATAAATTAGAAAGGAGAACAATGTAGCCCTCAGCCAGGCTGCCTGGAAGTCTGCCCCAGAACCAAGGGACAGCTCCTAACAGAAACAGTAGTAAAACCATGTTTACATCAAGCAAACTTACCATTCAGCAAATTATAGAACACTGCACGTGTGCTTTTCACACTAGTGGCACTGCCGACGGAACCTCCAACATCCCACAGCTCAATGTAATAGGTCTTCTCTTCTGGAGTTCCTTCTTTGTAGTCATGGATCTGATGAAAAATTTACATCATAAATAACGACAACACCATGTCACAGAAGTTAATCCACATGACACTTACACTTTCAGCTGGAAGGATTATTGGACTTGGATAGAAATGTGGAAGTTCTTATGCTGACACTATTTCAAACCTTTCAAGTGGAAGAGAGATGGAATAAGTCAAGCAGTAGCCATTGGACACCACAGAGATGGAAATCACCATCTCGCGTGAGCCTGGTGAGCAAACAGGGAGCATCCTTTCCATCTCAGTATTAACAAACCCAACATCTCATGACGTGCTCAGACACAGCGTTTTACTAAAACAAATGGAAAAATTAAGGTCTTGACTTCTTAGTTGTTAAAACCCACATGGCAGCACTGCAAGAATATTAACATAGGTGACAGACCTGGATTCCAACTGACCACATCTTTTTCCTACCCTAATTCTGACATCTCAACTGAATTAATCAACAACTTCTGCCCCTAGATCTGCTGAGTAGTTTTGCTCCACAATCAAACACGACTGCCATATTCCTCTCCTCAGATTTTGGAAATACATTCCTAACCTAGGGCAATGCATTTCAAGGAGAATGCAGCAAAGAGTGATGAAGGAAAAAAGCATTTATCAATGTCTCATGCGGGCTGTAGGCTGGGCCAAAGAATTGCTGGGTGAACATCCTCATTCTTCCCAAAGCAGGTCCTGCACCAAGTAGTTGGGAGGAGAAGCAACCCCATGGTCACAGTTGTCACCAAAATCCAGGAAATAAACTCTCTTACCCAGTTAGGTTAGAAAATCAGCACTAATTTATTCAGCACTGAAGTACATGAGTAGTACTTCACCAAACGTGTACATCAGTCACCAAAGCTTACAAGTATTTATACATTTTGGCAGACAAAGGAATTAGTGCTCACTGACTTACAAGTTATGCAGTTCTCTTAATTAATTATTATTCAATCTTCTATTGGTTATTGATTTCTCACTTCTCATGCTAACTAGCCCACATTTTCAGCCTTTTATTATCTCTTTCCCAGACAGGGAGAGTCTTATCTTTGTTACCTTCTTCGTCAGCTCTGCTTTCTGTAACATGTCTTTGTGGTAAATTCTGCATTCCTGGTGTCCAGGTCTCAACAATAAATTTCTCCTGTTAATTTCCTCACCCAGGTCTAAGAGCACTGAAGCATGTCAGGCCCTAAATTTTAATTTGTTTTCCTAACACGTTAATATCACCCATAGCTTTCCTGTGTTCCCACAATCTAAACGAGCAAACTGTTTTTCCCCCAATGTGTTTGGCTGACGACTTGGCTTTTCCTTGCCTGTTTCTCAAGGATATGGCCACCCTGTGACCTGTAACACGCCAGTGGCCACTGCAGCAGGGAGTGGAGCTGCGAGTCACAAATGTCTCGTCAGATTGTGACAACCTTGGAAAGTCAAAACTTGCTTGCACAAGTGCTTGCCTCACATTTGACGCTACTTGCGTCAGAAGATTAAGCCCTCAGCAAAACACATGGTCAAAGTACACCTCTTTCTGGGGCGTTAAGTAATTAAAAAGTTAAGGCCCTTCCCTTGCCATAAAGATGCTGTGCACGTCACCTACTCGCACATCCACGGAACAGCCCACTGTCCAGGACGGGTTTCCAAGCACCTGGTTGTGGCACAAGAGGTGAACGAGCGACGACTTTCCGACACCTGCAAGTGCACAGAGAGAGAACAACTCCTGGGAGGCGGTGCCAGGGTTGCAGGTGACGAGGCCGGGAGCAGCACCGAGTGAACGTGGACGGTCCCGGCCCCTAAGCGGGTAATGGGGAAGGAGGCGAGGAGCAGATCCCCAAGGAGAGGCCCCAGGACACATGGCCTGGGGACACAGACTCACCAGAGTCGCCCAGCACCAGCACTTTCACCCGGTCCAGAGCCGCCATCTTCACCCCGCCTAGCAACAACGCCCAACCAGCGGGGCACTCGCCAATGGCGGCGCGCGCTCTTGTTATTTCTCTCAGCCTATTGGGCTGTCTGGTCGAGGGGGCCAGCGCAGTTCTCACTTCTGATTGGTCTATCCTGCGCGAGGGCGGGAAGGCGCCTTCCCGCAGGAACAGGCGATTGGCTTGCTTCCCTGTCGCTCGTCTCTCCGGCGGCGCTCGGGGAGGGAGAGGGCGGTGCGGAGCAGGCGCCGGCGGTGCCGTTGACGGCAGAGGTGCGCCTGGCGGTGACGCAAGTGGCGGAGCCGCTGGAAGCACCGCCTGGAGCCGGGAAGAGCTGGAAGCGGCGCCAGGTCAGTGCCGGCCCCAGGGAACGCGGTGGTGCCTGCGGCCTGCGGAGGCCCCGGCCCGGCGCTTGGGTGCTGCAGAGCGGTCCGCGGGGCCCATGCTCCACACCCGTTGTGCCAATCTGGGCCCCTTTCTTGTCTTGACTCCTTCCCACCGTTTGCCCTTCCTCCTGCGGTGCTTGTTGAGGCTTATTCTTTGTTTTGTTTTGCCTTTTTTTTTTTTAAAGAGGTTCTGCTGACCTCCTCTACCTTCTCTCCTCCTGCAGAAACACACAGTTCGATGTTTAAACCTCAGCATATTAAAGTGGGTTGGGAATGGGAGGCTGTGTAGACGGCATAGGGATTTTCCCCGCTGACTGCCGTTAAAGCTTAGTCTGCTATTATAGTTCGGGAGATCTGTGTAATTTGTAATTTGAAGGGAGATGCAGGGTTATGGGCATCTGAGGAGTAGCTAACTAGCAAAGCGAGCCCATTCCTTTTTGCCAGGTTTGGGCCAACCAGCCAGTGGTGTAACCGTTCAGTTTTCCAGGTCAGCAAGGTGAGGTTTGTGGGGGTTTTTTTGTTTGTTTAGTACTATTTTTTTTTTGTGTGTGTGTATTATGTTTCTTCTGGTCTCAGGAGCGTCCTGGTTCCCTGAGAAGCAGGCAAATATCACATCTTACAGTGCCACCGAGCTGTTGTTAAATGGGTCCAGCTGACAGGCTTGTGCCATTCCAAGCGGCTCAGAATGAACAAAGAAGATCAGCATTCTGAAAAGGGAGTTCAGCCGTGCACGGCTAAGGTGCATTTTCATAAAATCTAGGTAGTTTAATATTTTTCATCCACAAACGGTGGAGTTTTTTTTTCATCTTTTCTAGTGCAGTGGCATCCTCTCTTACCTGCTGGTTCTGTTGCTCGTCACAGCTCACCACCAGCTCATTAAAACATATGTTGAAAAACATATCAAATTGGGGGAAAAAAAGTATTTTTCTACCTCTAATCGATCAGTTTGGTGCACAGGATGGTGTTGTGAGGGCAGAGCCATGTGCCTGGGAGAGGAGCACATGCCTTCTTGGCAGGAATGAGGCTTGATGGGACTTGGCATTCCTGCCTTCCACTTCCTGTGACATACAGCTCACCTTCTCAGGGGATGCTTTAGGGGATTTTTCTAAACAAGAAACTATGTTAATTAGAGCTAATCTGGTGTCTTGTTACTTAGTTTCTTTGTTTCTTTACTGCTTATACCCATGGTATATACTCGGTTGTGCTCTGGTGCACTAAAACTATGCTTAACCAAATCATTCCGTAATTTTTTGTTGTCTTTCTGGAATTTTCAAAAGGTAATATTGCTCACATGATCATGATGAAAAGTGTGGTGTTCCAGGTTCTAGTGAATCCATAATGTGAAAAGCAATTACTGCTTTTTTTCTGTCAGAAACGTAGAAAGGAATGCTGGGGTTAGGCCCACTGTGCTTTGGTGTAATCATGACTTCCTAGGCTTGATACGTAAGAGAAATGGTCTTACTTTCTTCCTTTTAAACAAACCCTCAAAACCTTACAACTACTTTATGTAAGTGCCAATGCTTACACGTCTCCAAAATAACATGTATTCTCCTGGTAGGCTCAGATCAGAGTGTAAATTGTAAGAGGTTCTGGTCTCCATAATTAAAATTTTTCAGTGGCCTCACATAACAAATAGGTCAGTTTTCCCACCATGTGGGAAAGCTCCCCATCCTTAGCCATGCATTCTTTTCTTTGTTTTGTGTTGGCTCTAGTCTGGTAACATAAGTTATTAAATTCTTGAACTTCTCCCCTTTGCCCTCTCTGAAATGTCCCACTTTTTTATTTTGGCATGTTAGTTTTTCACTTTTTATCAACTTGATTCACATTTCTATATGAATAGTGAGTTGCCAGAATAAGGACAGAGGGATGGGGCTTGTGGCTAAAGGCAAGGAAGGAAAATAAGGGCTTTCTTATGGGAGGGAAGGTGTCATTTGACTTAAACTGCATCAGAAAATTTCATCCATTTGTATATGTGCACACATGTGGTCCTTTAATTTCCTGACACTTTGCTATTGTTTATGTTGGGTTAAGATTATAGAAGTGACTGAGAATTACATCCTGAGCCTGCATTGTTCAGTTTCTGCCTGTGTGGTCAAACCTTGTGACCTTATTACATCTGTCCTCCTGTGTTTTCCACTTGTGAAATTAGGGGAAAATACCGTCATTTCAGCCAGGCCCCTCAGCCTTTCTGTGTGCACCTGCAGTACAATTTCTCCTCCTGAGTGAGGAAAACCTTTTGGTACCTGTAGCCTCGTAGTTTCAGTTTATGGAAAGCCAACAAGAAGATGGGAATTCAGTGAAAGTGGATTGTTCTTTTCTGCCGCCATACTTGAAGGCAGGTCTTGCAATGAAAATACACTATTGATCATCAAGATGTAGTGCAGGAGGAAGGCTGAACAGCAGTGTTCGTCAACTCTTCAGGGAATGAAACTCACTAAGCTCTTGATAAAATGTCAGAAGACTTTATTTTGCAACGGGTGTGAGGATAAAGGCCGTTCTGGGCTTACTACAGAGAATGCAAGTGAAAACAAGACTTGAAAGTGGAAGATTCTGTACCCCTTTTCTGGAAAGGATGAGTAGTATCTGAGGTTGTGTTGTACAGACATTGAAAATCTTGATGGCATATTTTCCCACTGTAGTTCTGAAATTTATGCCTTTCTGTCCTGTACTCAGGAAGATTCAGGGTTGTTTCTCTTAGCTTAACCTCATCTTCTGAAAAGCAGAATTTTAAATCTGGTTAGTGAGAGAATACAGAACTGAAATCTGTTGTTTGCAAGTGACAGCTGGAGCAGGAAATGGCCACACACTGGCTCCAGGAAGCCTATTGTACCTGCCTCATTTACAGGTGAGGGGATTCTCTTAGTATAACCTGGTTTTGATTTCACCTGAAGAAACTATGTCAGTGGTGTAAACAAGTAACTTTTTTTTCCCCCTTTCTTAAAAATCTTGTGTCAGAAGCTTGCAGAAACGTTTTCCAAGCAAAACAGTAAAAGCTGATTTCAAAGATTTGGTGGAAAAGAGCACTAACTAAATAAATATGGGGAAAAATAGGAAGGTCTGTGCAAATGTTAACAGTGTGTCTGACAGCCTAGTTTCACAGCCAAACCTGCAACTCCAGGTATTCCTCCAAAAGAGATCCGGGGTGTTACAAAAGCTTTGTATATCCATATGAGTCTGAAATGCAATCTGCTTCCTTTTTTAAGATCCTGCTTTTAAAGATCCTCTGTCAAATATTGAATTTTCTGGGTAAAATTAATATAAGTCTCAAAAGTTACATGTTGAAACAGGATAATCTACATTTGCAGTGTTGGATAAAAATTCATATTAATTGACTGGCTGAGGTAGGTTTTCATATTTTCTAGTACTATTTTCATCTACATTGTGGCTCCTAGGTTATCACCCTTCTAGTATTTTTTGTCTCAGTTTTAGCCAGGAAAAGCAGGGAGAAAATCAGATCTAACTTTATTAGCGCAATTCCTGTTGGAGTTCATTGAAATGGGAAATTTTTGAAATTGTTGTATGTGGAGAAGAGTTCAGTTGCTTTGATGTTGCATCAGAAAAGTCCTGAAAGTGGAGGTGTTTGCTCAGTTCAGTTTCTGGCTTCTGTGTGGTCTTTGATCCCATCATACCAAAGGGTTTTTTTTTGTTCTCCCCCTGACATCCTTTCTGGCATCTCTGGTTATGCTGAAGGCCTCATACATTTTACTCAACCTTAGATACACTCTTTCAGAAGGTAGCCTGATTTTCTTCACTCAGCAGATCTGATTGTGTTGTGTAACTATAAGACTCTTTTTCCAGTGTTGCCTTTTATAGACACATCAGTATTAATTCTTTCAATTATAATAATTTTAAAAACCTAACAGATGTGTATTTAGGTTTGCTCTCCTACTGTGTTAACACAGACAGGTCTGCTTTCCTCCTGTACCCTTAGTACTGAATTGTATTAATGTATTTACCCAGAACAATTCACCACCAACTGTCTTTTTTAATAAAATCCGTGTTTAAATTTGGATATTCTTCTTTTGGCTGTTTCTGAATATGATGCTGTCCAGTGTGCCTTATTATTGATGCTGTAGGTGCTTACTGGCATAGCTGAGTATCTTGGCCATTGTATTTTTTTCCCCTGGAAATGTTCCTTGATGTTCATAAATTCTTAAGGTCAGTTCAGACATTATTATGCAATAGATGCACATCTATTAGAACCTTGTTAAAAGGTGTTACCATATTTCTTTGCACATGGAATTAATTCAGGTTTGACTTACTGCTTCGGGGAAGGTGAAATAATTTCTAAAGGATGCAGTGGTAAAGTCGCCTGGGTTTGAATTTTGTGAGCTGAATCAGTGTCTTTTTTGCCTGGTGAAAGATGGTAAGAATTTGCAGTTCAGAGGTTTCAAAACCTTGGGTTCTTCATGGACCAGACATCAGCTTGGCCTGGTGAGATCTGGCAGTGGTATACACTTGGTTTTTTTTGTTTGTTTGTTTGTTTTTTTCCAAAGATTCCACTGGTCAGTTGTTTGTTTTATCCAAAGACTGTCTTCTTCAGGATTTAGAACTTATAGTGTGTTAATCTACTTTTTGAAGTGGAGGATAACAGGAAAGAATGGTTTCTGGTGTTTTCAGAATGCTTGTATTTCCGTATGTCCCCACCTGGAAGAAAACAGTATCACAGTCAAGATGCCCTCTGTTACCTGAGGACAGATTTGGACATCACTCCAAATCTCCAGCAGAGTAGAAGAAATTGTATTAAAACTCCTAGTCCCGCTAGATGAAAAAGAGTATTTTCTAGTGATTGACACTAAGAAATATTATTAAATCTGACTGTTGCTGAAAACTCTTAGAGCTGGTTTTATTTATTGGTCCCTTGTAGGTCTCTGTTTAAGCTGTTTGAGTGCATTATTCTGGAAGTTGCAATTTAAACCTGTTTGGGAAGTGTCTGTGGCAATCTGCAGCTGTCTTATCAATGCAGAGAAAGTGCTTTCCATCAGCTCTCAGATCAGGTGTCCAGAGTGAGATGTGCTTATTTAAAAGCATTTTTCTCCTTTTTTCTTTTCTTATTTCAACTGATGTCTGAAAGTCACTGAGCCCCTGCAAGTTGCATCACTAAGTTTTTCTGCAATGAAGTTTCAGGGAAGGTGGATTGTTGAAGAGAGAAGGTTGTCTGCTATTCATATCAGCACTTAACAAGCTTTTGACTTTAAGAATTTGACTTTTTAACTCTCCTGAGGTGCCAGGTTTTATTTAAAATTGATCTCTACGTTTATTCTTTACTTTGCTTTAACTCTGAATAAGATTTGATCAATTTTAATAAATCAAGGATTCCCTCCAGCTTCTGCATTGGCATTGTTTCATAGTGTCAGTATGCTGCTGACAGATACAGTCAAAACCAAGATTTATCTTCAAGCCACTGAAAGACTGAAAAAATACCCACAGAATGACGTTGATCTTTAAAGACAATATCCTGTGACAGTATTTAGATTTGATCTGATTTAGAGATTCCAAAATACTGCATGACTAACTCTTGATGGGGCATCATTTATTGCTAACACTTTTATCTTCAATGCAAAGCTCTTTGAAGCTGTCCTTTGTGTGAGATAAATCACTGTGTCCCTGGCATGCAAGAGAAAGCTGGATGACTCTAGAAGTACTTGTTTAATGGTTAATTCGTGGTGTGATAGATGTGTTTTAATTGAATTTCCTTAAAGGGAAGTTGTAGCTGGACATCCAGGCATTGTTTGCTGTGAGCTATTCTCAGCCTGCACATCAGCAGTCAACAAATGTTGTTCAGTTAATTTCAATTTGAGCACTGTGAATGCCATTTGGCCGTAAGTTAGAGGAAAAGAAAAGCTCACTCAATCAGGGAGGTGTTTTAAAAGAAAAACACGAAGCTGGTGATTTTCTTATCCAACAGGCAGAAAAGACAGGATGATTTTAATTTACTTACTGTGAAGCTTCACATTCCACAGCCTAATTGCTTTGCAGTTGTACTGGCCATAACCCTTGAGAGGAACATCCCTCCTCAGTGGCAGTAGTGGGTAGGGGTGGAAGAGGAGTAAAGGTTCAGTGGATAATGCTACGCTTTTTTGAAAGGGCGCTGTTTCTCATAAGAAGAAAAAAAATCCAAGCAGGCTACTCTGATAAATGATCACAGATTTCTAAGAAGTCTTAGCTGATGGGAGTGAGTCAGTAGCTGCTTGGTTACATACAGAGTTGGTGATCTCAGAGGGAAGGCTTAGTGTGGAGAGTGGACAAAAGTTGTGTAAAAGGTGTTTGTGAAAAGGCCTATCACAGGTTTTATGATAATGATGAAAAAAATAGGATACTCATCGAGATCCTTTCTTCTCCTGTCACTTTTTGCTTTGATAGGCTTGAATACTGCAGAGATGTATGTAGAGTGTGTGAAACATCTAATGGAACTGAAAACTGAGATTCACAGAGTTTGGCAATTTATTATATTAGTTAACAAGTAAAAGTTGCATTGAAATGATGAAAAAACCCATAAATTAGAGTAGGAGAGGTTTTCTTCAGGGAAAGGAACCTTTTGCTTAAGAAATGGTTACTCATGTCCTACAGTAGCATAGAAAATTGTTACAGAAAAAAGATAATTCGGAGTCTTATTTTATGTTAACTTGACAGTGCAACCTTCTGAATGGGTATTTCAAAAGCATCTCGAATACTTTATTCTTCCCTTGAATCACTGCTGTTGTCTGTGAGCTAAATCTGGCAGGGCTGAAAATGAGAGGAATTCCTTGTATGTGATCTTATATACATTGCCATGTATGTCACAGGAGCTTTTAACAGTCATGACCATTTGTGCCGTTTGATGTTATGGTGAAGAAAAGTGAAGTGAAAGTAGAGTACTTAGAAAGTATTGTCTTATCACAGACAGCCTGGTAAGTGATGGTATGTAACTCACAGTATACTTCATGGACTACTTTTTTCTTTTTTAAACACATCATCACTTCATGTTCAGTATGTCTTGATTTTTGCTTCATTTATTACGCTATATTATTCATGGGCTTTTAAGGCCTGAGAGTAGGACTTTAAATGAAGGTTCCATCCTTTGTAATGACCTGTTTGCTCGTATAAGAACAAGGCTGAAATAGTTTGTGATGTATGAGTTGGTTTGCTAATGGTTTTCATGCTGCAGATAGTTGACTGAGGTTTATTTATGAGCAAGGATCTGTTCTCATGGTGCAGGTCGGAGCTTTTGCTTGAATGCATACCAGCCTGTACAGCGAGCTGTCCTCATAATGCATCTCTGCCCAGGGATGGCTGAGGTGTTAGACCAGACAGGGCTGCTTACACTGGCGTCAAGTGATGTCAGCCGAGGCCCTCAGACTTCACTCTTGGGCTGTCTTAGGACCTTTCTTGCTGTAGCCATTTTCTTCTTTTTCCAATTTACAGGTCTCAGCTATCCCAAAGCTGTCTTCTGGAGCTCAGCTTCATGACAGCTTTCTTACTATAGCTGGGTTGACTGTGACTGAATACAAATGAAATCTGCTGTATGTTTTGGTACTGATTTCTTGTGTGCTTTTAAGAAAGTTTTACATCATTTTGCTTTGAATGAGCATTATTGACACCTAAGGAGACAGTACAAGGCTTAGGAAGGGGAAATGGAAAACACCCCATCCTTTTCTTACCTCTAGGTAAGATAAATAAGAACTTTGGAAGTTAGAAGACTAGCTAAGATTCATCTGCCTTTTTTTCGTTGCAGTATACATGAAGCTCACGATCTGGATCTGCTATGACTGACCCAGACGTCCTCACTGAGGTCCCAGCAGCTCTCAAACGCCTTGCCAAATATGTGGTGCGTGGCTTTTATGGCACTGAGCATGCTTTGGCTCTGGACATTCTCATTAGGAACCCTTGCGTGAAGGAGGAGGACATGCTGGAGCTCCTGAAGTTCGACAGGAAGCAGCTGAGGGCTGTCCTTAACACCCTTAAGGGTGACAAGTTCATCAAATGCAGGATGAGGGTTGAGACAGCCCCTGACGGCAAAACCACACGCCATAACTATTACTTCATCAACTACCGCTTGCTTGTCAATGTGGTCAAGTACAAGCTGGACCACATGCGCCGCAGGATCGAGACTGATGAGAGAGACTCCACCAATCGTGCCTCTTTTAAATGCCCCATCTGCTTCAGCACTTTCACAGATTTGGAGGCCAACCAGCTGTTTGACCCCAGAACAGGTAAGGGTACAGTTAACAGAGTGCTCTTGCTGTCTCCTGTGACTGAGTGCTGGACTTTAGGGAGGCAGAGCCTTAGGAAAATTCTTTTTGAGCTTGGCCAGAGCTAGAGGGCACTCTGTGTCTGCAGGTGGTAAATGTTTGAGCGGATTATGAAAATAGTGTATACAGACAAATAGGAATCTTGGCGAAATGCTTTGAGTGACAAGCAGGAGAGAAATTGAAATCTTACTGAAGTCACAGTCAAGGATGAATAAGGCAATCTGTCCTTGTTGGAAGCTGATGGCTTTTCAGTATAACCTAGTCTTGTTAGTAAACAGTTAGACTTCCAGGTAGTTTGCAGAGAGGGCATATGTTGAGTTGATTTTAGCTGGCCATACAAGAAGTGAGTTGTTGCTGTTTAATATTCTAATAGCCTAGTGCATTATACTGCACAACCTTGTTTCCCAGTGCACGGCAGTCTCATGAAAGTTAAAAGAAATTAATTACGGACTTGCCTGTGTTCGGGAGTAAACAAGATTCTTATTCATGTATAAGTCTCAGAGGAAGTGCATATCTGTCTCATGCATATGAAATGAGAGTCTTTCTTCGGTGTCGTCTACTTTGTGCTTCTGTGCCAGGGAATAAAAGGAAGAATACCTGCACCTGATGAGACTTTTGCTAGTCTAATCTGGGATTATTCTGAGGGGAAGGCAGGGAGGTTAGGTGTTAATTTACTTTTTATTTTTTTCCTTTTTAATTCTCTGTCCTGATTTTACTTTTTCAGAAAAGTAAGAGGACAAAAGTCAGGAGACCTCTCGGATACATTGAAGTATGATGTTCTGTGTCAGTTAACATGATGAGAAACTATAAATTTGGCTGTTTAGTAACCCTGAAGCTTTTAATCTAGGGTTATTGATGTTCAATCTGCCAAGTGCAAACACCCAAGAAATGTTCAGCCTATCATTTTCCCTTTTGCCTGCCTCCAGAGTTAAAAAGCAGTGAAACGCCTTTTACTTGTGCGACCGTGAAGTACTAGAGGAGAATCCAGTAAGTAACAGTTGTTGATGAAATCCAGTGCAGCTCTCTGAGAAGAAGTTGCTTCCTTGTGGAGCACCAAACCAGTAGTGCCAGTACAATATTTCTGTGTTCACCACTAAGTGTAGAAACTCTGTGTGCCCTCACAGTTAATAATCATTTGTGGTGGCTATGGTTGTATATATTGGGATGAAGGGAAATGATGCTTTTGCAGTTTTCATTGGTAAGGAGAGAGTAGAGAACCTGTGTGGAGAGCACACAGAATGAGGGGTGTGATCCCAAGGTACCTCTAGCACTTAGCAAAGGCCTGTTGTGGCCATTGCTTCCCAGCCTGCATGGGCAGTGAGTTCTGAGAGCAAAGAATTGCCTATCAAGGAGGTGCTGAAAATAATAATGCTGGGATTTGACTTTGGTACCAAGGCCTGTGTTCCAGGAACTGATATGGTCGACTAAGGGTCTGCCTGCAGTACAGGCACTGGCTGTGTCCACAATGTGAAATCGTTCACTGGCACATGGAGTGTTTTATGTTCTGATGGAGGAAACAGCTGAGTGCTGTTTTCTCAGCAATTCCCAGGAGTTGTGTCAGTATTTGTGCAAATAACAAGATTGTCAGTTTACCTCCGCTTATCTTCAGTAAGAACATACTCGCCTAAAATTTATGTATATTCTTTTCTCTTTATGTTATTTATAAGTCAATGATAGCTTCATCTAGATAGTGTGCAATGATACTGTTGTATGTCTGCTTTATATTGCACTGGAATGTCTTGTCAGCATGTTTCCTGCTGCTCTGGAATTCTGTATTAGAAAAGATCTGAGAGACCCCTAAGTCTTTCACAGAGGAAGCTCATGAGGTCAAGGCATGCAGAGAAACAAAGTTTATTAGACAGTGAAGATCCATCCTTTTCCAAGAATGTCTTTAGCTCCTGTCAGTGCTAAAGATAAATCTCTCCTGCTCATGGAAGCTTGTGCAGTACAACTGCTGAAAAGTAGCTGAAAGCCACACAACTTCAGTCACAGCTGACCTGAGCTGGTCTTAGACTGCAGCTATGTTGATAAAACTTCGTGAATTAAAAGGCCTGCAGGGCCAAAATCTGTTAATCCATGGAGCAGGTAGGACATGGAAGGCATCCTCTGTACCAGTCTGGGCCAAGCTGCACCTAAATTGAGAGTTTTTTGTTAAAAGATACCCTCTTTCATCGCCTACCTTTTGTTCTTGTCATTCAGAGATGGGTGTGATTTAGATGTCCTGTGTTTTCTTCTGATCTGCTTTCCTCTTTCCTACCTACAACTCAAATGCAAACTCTGAGCAATTGTTGTCAAAGAATTGGAAGAGTTGCTCTTACCCTTCCTTATTAGTGGGGGTGGACAGGTTTCCAGGACCACTCCATGACTCTGGTCATCATACTGGAATTTGAGAATAAAGAGTGCTTATGAAGAGCCTGTTCATAAATTGGATCTGTAGAGCTCTTTAATTTTTACCACAGCATCTCTGTCCACCTCTTGGATTTAGCAGACCTTTGTTTCTTACAGGTTGAGTAGCTTTCTTTTGGCTCTGTTCTTTACTCTATCTCTGAATAATGCTGAAATAAACCTAAGTGTTTATTTTTTCATCAGAAAATATGATTATTGATGATTCTGAAGGGTAGACACAAGTCTGCTCAGAGAAAATAATTGATAATGAGAAGAGTGTGTTTTCAGGGCATGTAGGTACAGATGTGCTTTGACTGCTGTTCAGTTAACTTGGAAAACATATTTTGAATAGAGCAGCAGCATGTTTGCCACTAAAATAATTTTAACTGTAGATTTTAAATAGAAGTGTTACTTTGAGAGTGTGTTCTCTTTTTTTTTAAAGCATTATAAGATTTTTGTTTTCCTCTGTCCCTTTTTCTGCCATTAAACGTCTCAACCCAAAAAAGCTCCAAAGGCTGTCTGTGCTGGCAAAGGTTGAACAACTCGTCTGGTACTTGAAGGAAGTTCAAGGACAGGATGTGAGACAGTGAAAGTCAGGATGACACCATAAACTGGAGTTTTTCTGCTGCTTCAACTCACAAGGAGATCTTTCGAAAAGTGAAAATAAATGCACGCTGTGTTGAAGGAGTTGCTTGGTTGTATGACCAGTGAGTGAGTGTCTGTTTACTCTGAGCATGGCATACCCAAGTCAGGAGTTCTAGCCCCATCTGTTCTCCATGAGGAGCTTAAACAGATCTCCAGCTGTCACACTTTTTCCTCCGGTGTTTTTTGCTGTTGCTTATTGTTTTATTGTTGTTTATTGCTTCTTCCAAAGAAGCAATATCAGTAACCCCTGGTGTTAGAGCCAAACAAGTGTGAACACAGCATTATTGCAAAAGTTTGCAATGGAAACTTGTAGCAAACCTTACAAGAACTTTCTGATTAAAGGGTTTGCCTGTAGATGGGAATTGGTGCAGACTGGGTTGTTACAGGCTGAGCAGCTACTTTTCTGAGTGTTTTGTAATCTACAGGAGGGAAAACAATAATGATGATGAACGAAAAGTGTTACTTCTAGCTTTGTTTTTTAGATAGGATGAATGAGAAAGGAAAAAGATTGTTATTTTCCTGGAATATCTTAGTATAAGCACTTGATCCTTGCCATCATCTGCTGTCTGAACCATACTCTGGTATTTCATTGCTCGTCATTCTTCACCTGAGCAGTAGTTTGCAGCTGCTGCTGTAATAAAGTCTTATGCAGGTGGAAAGTTTCAGCTATTCCCCTGAACAAGATAAAGGCTGTCTCTTGAGGCAGGGAGTATACATGGAAAGAGTTTGGTTGGGGAGCAGTAAGAAAAGCCATCTGTGAGATATGTGATGTGAATAACACTGCTGAACTTGGTCTACTGCTAGACCTGGGCTGACAGTGGACACTGGCATAAGGGAACACTGGGTTTTCCTGTTTCACCTAGAGATAGGATGTTACATTAGTCTATTAAACCTATGGGAAGAATATTTTCCTCTGTGCTTTTAAATGTAGAAACTGCAGAAATTTGGGTTCTGCAGGCCAATCCCTTGACTCGCAGGTCAATCTCAGCAACTCGATACCATTTTGTGGACTGGATGTTTGGAGAATTAAATCTGCCCACGGGTGTTCAGTGGAGTGTGGGGGAAAGACAGGACGAGCTGCATTTCTCACCCAGCAGAGGGCTCTGTCTTTTCTCTCTACAGCTGGGCTTGGCGTACTTAATCTATGGATGTCACAACACTGGAAATTATGTTCATGGATGTGTGTTTCTGTAGCGTGATTAATTGGATCTGGCTGGAGAAGGTCTCTAATGTATCCTATTCTCATACCTTAATCATATTTGTAAATCTAGTGTAGTGTTGGAGTTCTGTCAAATTCAAGGTCAGTTTGAAAGAAAGTATGTGACTAGAAAATGCAAAAGGGAGAGTGAGTTGGAAGTGAAGAAGTGGCAGAAATGAGATTCTGCAGTGCATCACACTGGTATTTAGCCCTGGATTTCCTTAGGTATTCTAAATACCAAACTGTGTTAGGATACTCACCAGTGCAGCAAGTGAATTTGATGTTAGGAAGTGTTAGGCTAGATGAAGTATTTTTCCACTGCTCTCTTCCACCTTTGCAATATAATTTTTACCCAGTCTTGTGTTTCTTTCACTTCTGTTACTGTGAAGAAAAATGTTAATGTTACCAGTACGTTGTAATTAGAGTTGATCTCTCGTGTCCATCTATACATTGTGTCCTCACCATAATATTCAGTTATATAAGGTGTGAATAGTGGTGGGAAGAAAAGGATGGAAGACAAGTGGGTAATGTAACTCAGAAAGATGATGCTTGCTGTGATGTGGTTAATCGCAGTTGTAATCACTGAAGTATTTTGTTGCTTTTGGAAAACACAGCAGTTAATTATGTGGTTGCTCTTTGTCCTCCCACAGTTTGCTCTTGGTTTGGTGAATGATTTTGTGGGGATGCCTAGCTGTTCCTATAAATGCACTGTAACAGTAACATACTGTGTATC